AGCGTTTGTGACTCTCCTGTTCATCAAAATGAACAAATCTTGTTCGGTGAATGAACTAAATGACTCGGAAAAAGATTCGTTCATTTTGATGAACGAGTTCGAACAGGAGAGTCACGAACGCGCATCACAGAACAGAGCAAGGCAAGCATTTGAGCTTATAAAACTTAAACTTTGTTATTTATTTATTAAATGAGCGATCTTTTTGCTTGATAAGATCCTTATTCATCGTCAGGAATTGTTTAAAGCCCTTTGAACAGTTTGCACTGAAACTGTCTTTTGGACTTTGAACCGTTTGGTTCCCACTGAAGTGCATTAAATGGAGAAAAATGCTGGAATTTTTTCATCAAAAACCTTATTTCTTTTCGAAGAAAAGAAAGAAAGAAAGACATGGACATCTTGGATGACATGGCGGTGAGTAAATTATCAGCAAAAGTGTTTTCAAAAGTGAACTACTCCTTTAAATTTTGTTGTTACTTTATGAAAACCCATTAGTTACTTCAGAAGACTCAGATTAAACCTCTCAATCGCTTTATGAACCATTTTGAAGCGTCACCATTTTGAATGAACTTTCAATGTTTTGAAGATGAACAAACGTGATAAAAGTTTGGAACAACAAGAGACCACAGAGCGCCCATGCCCTCAGATCACTTGGACGTGGCTGTAGTTATAAGAGGTAAAATCTATATAAATACTGTTCGTTTTCTCACACAAACCGCTCGTTTCGTGTCTTAGGCCATTCAATGTGTACTTACATTTACGAGTCATTAAATCATGTTTAATTTGGACTTCTCTGTGCATGCTCTTTGAGGTGGTGACCATAGACCTGCATTATATGACTGACAGACAACACCGGTTCATCTAAAAATACTGTGGAAACAAAGACACCTACATCTTGGATGCCCTTGAGGTAAGCTAAAACATACCAAAAATTAATTTCAAAGTGAACTATCCCTTTAAATATGCTTATTGTCTTCAGTCTCTTTTGACCTCAGGGTATCATACAGTAAGTGAGGAGTAGCATTTTAGGGTTAAAGGTGTTTCTTCCTCCTAATTAGTGTTTTAGCGTGTACCTTGACCCAGAGCCACTCTGCTAGCACTTCAACTGCCCAGTATGGGTAGAGCTCCTCTTTGACGAAACGCAGATGCTTTGCCCGGTTAGTTACCCACGTAACCACCAAACATTCTGGAGCAGCCAGTGCTGGCACAGGAAGCTGCTTGAGCTGAGAAGATGGCAGAGAGCTGTATCTGTCAATCATACCATGATATGATTTCAGGCCAGAGCAGTTTCTTATTGCAGGTAGAGAATGAATCACTTTATATCCACATGAACAAGTATGCATGGATGTCTATGTGGAGTCACGTTACCTGTTGCTTCTTTTGACAGATTTGTTTTCCCATGGCGGATCAAGGATTATAAGGTCAAACTTGTCTCCACCTGTAGTCAAAATGTTGCAATATGCAAAACTCACTAAACAAAATGATGTGAAATTGGAAGCATTTAAAGCAGCATAATAAAATGACTAAAACAAACTAAAATTGGTAACACTTCACAATAAGTTTCCATTAGTTAACTCTGGATAATGCATTAACTAGAATTAAAAGAATACAGTTGTTACAGTATTTGATCATCTTTGTTTATGTGAGTTTATGAAAATACAACTGTTTGTTAGTTCATGTTAGCTCAGGTCCACAATATACTGTATTAGTAAAGGTTAAATGTAATATTACCTAAGATTAAAAAAATGCTTTATTTATTTTTTGTTAATGTTAACCACTTTTAGTCAACCACTAATGTTAACCAATGGAACCTTATTTTACATAACATAAAAATAAAGACTAATTCAAAATATTAATAAATACTATAATAGTATATAAATATTACTAAAATAACACTTTTCTTAAAAGCTTTGAGCCATTTAGCTGCTCTACATAAAATACTCAATACTCTATTATGTAACAGAATAGTAAATAAAAACTCACTGTTGACAAGTGGATGCATATGTGTGATGTCAGACAACAGGAATCGGCTGCGGGGGGGCAATAGATACTTCTCCCTCATCAACGTGACCTCATAAGCACAGTCGAATGGGTTTTCTGTGATGGATGAGAATAGGTCAAGTGGTGGATCCAGACCATCTGCGTTCAGCGTCTGCACTGGTGCCACAGACTCGTCTGTTAACGGGAGCTGTTTGGCCATGTCACATAAGGCAGCAAGCTGGCACTCGTGTGTTGGCAGGGATTCAGAGGGTGGTGTGATCAGGTCTTCGGTCAAGTATCCACACTGACGTCCAGCTTCCAGAAGAGCCTGAGAGCCCTCCAGAACCACTGACCTGACCTGAGAAGACAAAAAAAATCAAAACAGCACATGCACAAAAATAGTGAGTGTAAGAGGAAATCTGTATGCAGGAATGGCAAGCAAAAAACAAATCCTGATAGGATTCAATTCGAATTTCAAACATAATTTGGAATCAGTCCGAAAGGATCCATTTTAGTATGCACTGAATACATTAAAGGTTTACAACATTTATAAAACAAGACAAGCAATATGCCAAAGATGAAAAAACGAGGACCTGATGAGGTGGTTAATATGAGCAAGGAAAACTGAGCAAGGAATCAAATATCATTTAAATGTTAGTTTCAAAAAGTCAATTTTTTGGTCATTAATGCAGTTGGTTATGAGAGTAAGTGAGGTAGAATGAAATTCTGAAAGCTCATCCAAAAAAAGAAATCTGTCATTAATTACACACCCTAATGCCATTCCAAACCCATAAGACTTTCGTTCATCTTTGGAACACAAAGTTTCATTAACTACCATTTTCAAGCCCCAGAAAGGTAGTAAACGCATCATTAAAGTAATCTGTGTAACTCCAGTGGTTTAACCTGTTTTATGAAGTGACGTGAGTGCTTTGTTTGCACGGAAAAACATAATTTAGCACTTTATTTGCAAATATGAATCTCCAACATTCGACTCACTCACATCACTGCATAAATCCGAGGTTAAACCACTTTGGTTACATGGATTACTTTAATGATGCCAATGAGGCATGGAAGTGGCAGTTGCATAGTTGTCAATGGAGAGACAAAAAGCCTCCAGATTTCATTACATAGATCTTCGTTCGTACAGTTTCTGTACATAATAAAATATACTTTTGTGGCAAAAAACTTGGAAATAATTTGTAATTTTGATCTTATTGTCTACTATATATTTATTTGTAAGGTGAGTCTTGTTGTGAGTGTGGTTACTTTGCTGTCAAGACCTTTGAAATAATTTAGCAAAATGATATGGAGCTGTAATGTGTTCAAGACCTGCCTGCAAACTACTTCAGCTGTGCGTTTAACTGAAAATATTAGACAACATCCAAAAGAAATCTTGCAAAATATATAATAATGAAACAAGGTTGCCAAATTTGATCCAATTTGTTACAAAGAATAAAGTTCCAAGAATTAGAATTAGATCCGTAGAATTAGTTCCAAATGATGACATTGTTATGAAAATACAATAAAAATCTGTACAGATTATTTTTAAGTTTTGTTGACACGGGGTATTTAATGAATAAACAAAGCAAGTCACCTTTCCATGATAAATATGGGCATCTAACTCCCCTGTATTGAGATCACGCTGCTTTCTTTTTCGTTTCTGCAAATGAAAAAACAAACTGTTCAGAGTCATGTAGCAATCTCCAAAGACCTTATCGAGCACAGTATATGAACTAACATAATAACAGCAACAATATGCTGTCTCGCTTTTCCCGTTGCATACCTTTCGTGTATGAAGATCAATCTTTGCAAGTCCATCACCATTGCTATTTTCTGCATTGTGTGTGTGAATACCATTTGTCGAGATATCTGTGTTGTGTCGAATTTGAACGTGGGGCTTCAATATATTAAAATATTCCCTCTTGAAACAGTTTTTGAAGTATATCGGCTTTTCAAGCGCAGCACTATTATAACAAACACAGCGCTGCAAACCCTCATCTATGTGAGTGCAGGAGTCCAACAGCCAGCCCCAGGAGTTACCACACACAATAGACATTTACACAACAGTAGTATAAAGACTGTCGAAATTATACAAACGGTTTCATTCATATACTATATATATAAAAAAGTTTTCATCTCATTTCAGGATAAATAAATGCTACTGCTCCTGCTGCTGCTGCTTCCTTTAATGTTTATTAGCGGTTAGCAAGCTTGCTTTTGGTGCATTACTGCCACCCACTGGACTAGTGTGGAGAATCAATCAACGTCAAGCCACACACAAGTGAGGGAAAATCATGATTTTGTAAATCTCAGTTATTATATAAAAAGTAATACTTATGACATGAAAAGTATGATATATTAAGTCATAATTATTAGATTAAAAAGTCTAAGTTACGACATGCCGAAATTATGAGTCATGACACGCATTTTAAAATTAAATTAGAGGTCAAAATTATGACGACACTAAGTGTCAATAATTTTGACCTTGAATGTCATAATCTGGACTTTTAAAGACATAATTAAAACAATTATGCCATAATTATGACTTTTAAAATTTAACTTTCAAAGGATGATTTTAGGCAACTCCCCAAGTGAATCCGTGGCCAATCCTCAAGACGAGTGGACAAGTCCACAAATGGTCAACCATACTATTTTTGAAACAACCCAATAAATTCATCTTACATTTACATTTAAGAAACATTGGATGCTGAATTCTATTTTATAAGAGGTTGTTTACTATGGTTTTCAAGAGCATCTTCGAACAATCTTATCTTGTATTGGACATACAAAATATTAACAACTTTATACTTAAGTTATAAAATTAGAAGTAACTAGTAATTAAGAATAATTTTAGTCGTTATAAATGTTTGCATAATAATAATAATGTAATAATAACATTCTTCTTTTTATTTGTATTTTTCTTCTTCACACTCCATCCCGATAGGCGGCGGTCATGTATCAAAAGCGTTTTGCTAGTCGCCATTTAATATTAAAGAAGAAGTAACGAAGGATGCTGCATACGAACTAGGAATTTGGGTGATGTTCCTGGCGCGAAATCTTTAAGTTTATGCCCCCCATCTAAATACCTCGTTACACGTTAATATTAGCATATATTTTAGCCTGGTGAACGACAGAACAAATCTAAACCTCAAGATAAACATGTCAGTGACGAAGTGATGAATTTCTAGTTGTTTCTATATCAGAGGTTGCTGGCTACGCAGTATGTGTGACGAGACGAACATGACCGAGGCCGGAGCGGAGAGAGACCGGGGGAAGAAGACATCAAAATCGGTTTGTGTTTATGACTGTCGCCCGGAGAGCAGCGCAGCGGCGGGGAGGACGATAGACATAGCGAACATGGATTACAATGGCTTTCTGCAGGCTCTGAGACGGGTACAACTCTTTCTTTTACTGTCTATGGTAAAACAGCTGTTTACCAGGGTAAATAACCTGCACACAGCGTGACATCTTTGTCATAAACCTTGTTTTTCTTTTCATTTTAGGAGTTTTCACTGTCGACAAACGAGACTTTCGTTATAAGCACGACGGACCGAAAAGAGATTGACGAACAACTGTACAGTAAGAGCTCTGAAAGCTAACATAACATTTATTTTCTTACCTGTTGTCATTTTAGAGGTTGCAGTTTTTAAATGTATATATTTTTGCTTGTCAACAGTAAAAAAAGTATTGTATTTACATATGTATTGTATTGTAAACCTTGAAAGTTTTTAAATAAATATTATATTGCTTTCATTTTTATATCATTTCATATTTCAAAACTGTAAAAAAGTAAAGAAAATATCTGATTTAAGTCTAGAAAACATTAAGGTTTTAAATTAAATATTGTATTTTACTTATTTTCATTTTGTTTACTGTTTTTTCAGCGTAGTTTTTGTTTTATTTAAAACATGTAAAAGGTAAATACACGTATATATATATATATATATATGTATATGTATGAAGAGTTCAGATGCAAAAGCCTCTAAATGCCATTTGAAATTTTCTTCTAAAATGACCATTTTTATCAAGCTTGTATATTTAAGTTCAGTAATTTCACTTAAATGACAATTAATAGGTAATCTTCATTGCCATTTAAGTGAAATCACTGAACTTAAATATACAAGCTTGATAAAAATGGTCATTTTAGAAGAGAATTTCAAATGGCATTTAGAGGCTTTTGCATCTGAACTCTCTCTCTCTCTCTCTCTATATATATATATATATATATAGAGAGAGAGAGAGAGACTATATTTTTCAAAAATGTATTGCAAAACTGTAATATTTAATAATAAATAAAGTTAATTTAGTTGTTTACAGTTTTTCATATAAAAATGTAAAAATAGTTGGTTTTTAAAAATGACTTTTTCATGTACTGATATGAATTTGTTTGTGTTTTGTTGTAACAGAGGAGTTGGTTGATGGGAAAACCTTGCAACTGTTGAAGTCTGTGAATCAGGAGCTGCCTATGGCGATTCAAGAGCGGATCGAGTATCTGCCGCACTATCATACTCTAGTGCAATGTGGCATGTATGAGTACTACGCTAGCGAAGGACAGAAAGCATTGCGTAAGTTTGCACGCTCACTTCTGCCATGCGGGCACACATACACATATACACACTCATAGTCAATTCATCCTAGTGTGTGAGATCACCGATAAGTAATATTATTGTGCATTGCGGTTGGGGAGGCGTAGGGGTTGGGGTTATTTATGTGCTTATTTATTCTATCCTTAATTTACTTTTTTATTTATTAATATATTTGATTATTTAGTTTTATTATCACAGGAAATGACACGCACAAAATGTAAATCATTTTCCATCATATTTTGCGAGCTAAAAAGATAAAGTTGATGATAAAGAAAAATGTCATGTCTCAATATTGGAAATATTATATTACAAAAGCCAGTGGATATCATTCAAGCAATGTGTAAATTCTATGTGAGAGTTATGCCGGTAAAAAAGTCTCAAACTATATGCTGCATTAACAGCGCATATTCTCTCAGAGACAAGAGATGAATCTACTTAAATATATGCTGATTATGGTATTTAGCGGTAACTTTCATTAATATTTCTTCTGTGGCCCATATGTACTAAAAAATTAGAAGTGAAGTATATTGTGTTAAATAAAGTTGTTTTTAAGGTCATTGTTTAAAATAAAGCTTGCCTATAACAAGGGGTGAGACGAGATCTCGTGCCATGAGATCTCACTAGGGCTGGACCAGAATATTTGAATATTCATTCAGTGGGGTGGTATTTGATTTGAAAATGTGACATTCGAATAATTTTTTTTTTTTTTCACACCTGGCATCCCACTCGAAACGGTTCTCATTTGCGCTTGAAAATGTTTTACAGTATAAAATCTAGTGAAATATAATACTTAACATAAAACTCCGTTATGGCTATTTAATAAATATATTTGCTTCTTCTTGTACTACTAAAAGTGTTCCTGCAATGGGAGTTTTCTCTAGCTAGAGCGCAGAACAGAGGAGAAAACAGTGGAGTTTGTATGGACAGAAGTGCATGCATGTATTTTGGGTTAAGCTGCATTGCTTTGACATTGTGGAAAATAGAATAATAGAAACAAAATATATTATCCTTTTTATCCGTTATTATCAATCTAAATGAATCTACTGTAAGACTTTGAGATTTTACTGGGACCTCACGTCACAATTTTGTTTTTTTATTCCGTTTTTCTAAGTCATTCGTTTTCATTTATTTTAATTTTTTGTTTTTATTCATGTAAATTAATTTTTTTTGTTTTAAATTTCGTTTTTATTCATTTAAATTTAGTTTTTATTCATTTAAATCTACCCTACTTTGTTAGTGAGAAGACTATACCTTATTAAAAATATTGCTTAAGTTAAAAAAAACCTGCGTTTATGTGTGTTTTATAACACAAATGGAGCATGTAATCTCTGCTTGCTTGAGGCGCGCCGCTTCTTTATTCAGATCCGCACATCTTTATTGGCAAATTATATGGTTTGAGAATGGACACGGGAACCCGCAACAGAACGGTTACGATGGGAAAAAGGTATCTGAGCATTTGTTTGAGTTTTGTCGAGAGCTGGAGGCGGCACGAAAAATTGATGGAGGCGGCCTGTGTATGTATTTTATATCACTAAAGCATAGGGCTGGGTAATAAATATCGGTTTCTCGATATTAATCGATTCTCATTTTTACGAACCGATATCGATTCTTAAATCTCAAGAATCGATTAGTCATCCTGTTTCATTTGAATGAATGGAACATTGTATTGTGGCTGCGCGCATCCAAAGAATCGCAATAATCTTTGTCCTTTATTACTATTGATATGAAACAAAGTCTCAATTTTCAAATTACGTCCATTTTCTATAGAAATTCAAAAACATGAATAACGTTTTGGCACTGTGGCGTGAGATTGCTCTGGCGCAGCTCAAGAGAAGCAGCAGCGCTGATCTTTCTTCCGGCTTAAAGGGTTAGTTCACCCAAAAATGAAAATTAAGTCATTAATTACTCACCCCCATGCTGTACCAACCCCGTAAGACCTTCGTTCGTCTTCGGAACACAAATGAAGATATTTTTGATTAAATTTGAGAGCTGTATAACTACCACATTGGCTCCTAAGGGACTGCCTCTTGACGGCCCAGAAAGTCAATGAAGAAAATGTTTAAATATCCCAAGTGACTACCGTGGCTCAACTATATGTTTATCAAGCGACGCGAATACTTTTTGTGCGAAAAAACAAAAATAACGAGTTTATTCGACTATTTCTTTTCTTCCTTGTAGGCCAGAACGAGACTTCCTTAGATTTCCACGACGCATGCGCGAGAACTGCGATCTGAAGTAGTGTAAGCTGGTGTAAGCAGATCGCAATTCTCGCGCATGCGTCGTGGAAATCTAAGGAAGTCTCGTTCTGGCCTACAAGGAAGAAAAGAAATAGTCGAATAAACTCGTTATTTTTGTTTGTTTTTGCGCACAAAAAGTATTCGCGTCGCTTGATAAACATATAGTTGAGCCACGGTAGTCACTTGGGATATTTAAACATTTTCTTCATTGACTTTCTGGGCCGTCAAGAGGCAGTCCCTTAGGAGCCAATGTATTTCAGCCAAATATTTCCAAAATATTATTCCAAAATATAGAGCCAAAATATTTCACGTTCTAAAAGATTATTTGTGGACTGATATTTCTGTAACTGACCAAACACAACCTGTTCGAAGACCTCTGCCAGAAAAGGTAGATTCGCTATAGGCCTATAGTAGCTTAAAGGAGAACTCCGGCACGAAATGAACCTTCGGTCTAATTACACTTTGGTACATAGTCAACTGTTCTCTGAGATTTGTTTTCATGATTATCGAATGTAAAGAGTTTTATCTCTAAAAACTGTTTAGCTTATAATGCTAGTCTATGCGCACTTGGCTCGGCGTTCGTGGTTCGACTGCTCGAGACTGTTTTCCAAAGATGGCTCCTGCCTGCATTTGCAAAGTAGACTGTCTTTATAAAATATCTTCTTTTTAAACGGTCTGTACACTTACAAAGTTCTCAATGCTTCATTTTGCATGCAGGGATCCTGATTATTCTACCTTGTTAGTGTTGGGCTATTTTGAGCCTTGTTAGTGGTGTTAACTAGCAATTTTTTTTCATTGCTCTATGCCCCATAAAACTCTTTACATTCAATAATTAGACCAAAGGTTCATTTTGCGCCTGAGTTCTCCTTTAAGTATCAGCATCACACCCAGGCTTTTTAGGAACTGGTGTGATTGGCGCTGTGTTAATGAGCATTGGAACCTGCCCAGTCATTAGAGAATTAATGATGATTACAGTAATAGAAGGGCTAAATGCTGTAAAAAAATGTTTTAATGAGAAATAAGCTAATCCAAGCTTGGATTATCCTTGCAGAGCATGTATGCAGTGATTTCCTATGAAATTATGGTGGGACAAATGAAATGTAATTTTAATTTTGATTATAATAATAGCCTAACAATAATTTTATACATTAATTGGAAATGCCAAATCCTCTTGATATTGCCATAGCTGATGTTTTTGATGATATTTCGGGCTATCGTCGATACACAAGATTATTGTTTATTGGCATGACCGATCTACACGGTGTTAGTTTCATGTGTGCTGTGTTTCTCTTTTTGTTGTGTTGCAGCCTATGCTTTTGCTGAGCTCATTGATAACGCGCTGTCAGCCACTGGAAAAAACACGGAAATCAGGAGAATTGAAATCAGACTGGTGAGAATTCAACACTGACCCTCACTCTTTATTACAAACCTTGTGAACTGTCTCAGTGTCATACGTTATAAAGGTGTGACTGGAAGTCATTAAGACATTTCAGAAATAAAAAAACTGTTGGTATTTCACACTCAAACACACCCCGGCTAACCAAAAGAAACACACTCCTCCCTTAATTTTTCCTCTCCCAAAATAACTAATTACAGCTAAAGCTGTATCAGACAGCTCGCTCAAGTATGGATGATATATATATATATATATATATATATATATAGTGCTGGAAAGAATTTAGATTTTTTATTCTTTATTTGGCCATAAAAAACAAGACCTCTTAAAAAAAAAAAAAATTAGCAATTTATTTAAAAAAAAAAAGCCAGGCTGCTGGTCATGCTAATGCATTTTGCTGCATGTTCTCTGCAGTACCACATTAAAATATCAGATATTACATATTTCATTGTTATCTGAGGAAAATATTATTCAATGAATAATTCAGTTATGTACTTTTTGTGGCACTTATTGCACATTGACCTACTAGTTTCCATGATCCAGATGTTTTGTTCTCTGTGTGTGTTTCAGCTTTTCGATGAGTCTCAGGGAGGACCTGCTGTCGTGGTGATAGATAATGGATGTGGAATGACATCTAAACAGCTGAACAACTGGGCCGTTTACCGTCTGTCAAAGTTTATTCGAGAAAATGACACGGTTCAAAGGTGTGCTCTTCATAAAACCTGCATTTTGTCTTATTTTATCATGATATGTGAGCAATGCCAAAACTTCTCATAAATATATTCATGCTGGTTCTTATAATGTTATAAACAAGGTTATTTGGTTCATATCTGAAATATTATCCAGCTGACCTGTGCTCATTGTATGCCCGCATTTACACTGCAGGTCTTGATGCCCAATTCCGATTTGTTGACTAAATTTGATTTTTTTTTTTTTGGTGATTACCAGCTTCTTTTAAAAGTGACCTAAATTCGAAATCTGCACTATTCACTTGGCTAAACAACCAAATATAGATGTATTGACCTGGAAAAGCTAAGGCCGAATAGGAAGTAGAAAGGATGAACTTTACAATGGATGCATGCAAAATGATGATGCAAGCTTTTGCTTTCTACATCATCTTTAAAGGTCAGCAAAACATTGGTCTCTTAAGGCAGAGAAAACACAGCTGTAACCGCTGTGGTTTGTGTCCATCTGAATTGACATCATTCACCTCCATTGGTTTATCCGATCAGTCCGCTTACATGGCAGATGCAAATGCGTGTATACGATTCATATCCGATTTATAATCGTAATCTATGTGCTTTTTTCCCTCTTACACGTTCATGGGTCACATCTGATCTATGCCATATTGTAAGAAAAAATCGGAATTGGGTCACTTGGGCAATGTAATGTAAATGCGGACATAGATTCAAATACTAATTGTCTTATAAAGTTTGCCTTGATAAGCATCAGATTTTTTTCTCCTCTTTGTTGTGCACACAGCGACAAACCCGGTTATGTGCGACCAAGTCCAGTTCCACGCAGTCTGAACAGTGACATCTCATATTTTGGAGTCGGAGGCAAACAGGCTGTGTTTTACATCGGACAGTCTGTCAGAGTATGTTTGCATGCATTTTTTCAACAAGTATCATACTTGCAAATCAAGACAGTAGATTTGTTACATCTCTTTACAATAAACCAGGACAGATATGTCCATTAAGCAATGGCAAAGAGTTTTGTTCAAATGATCCATAAACCAGGTTGGTTTAAACGGTCATATGTGTCATGTTTTCAAGTTTTGTTCATTTCAAGCTCACTGACTGTCCACGCATGAGTTTTGCATTATCGTGAATGCTTCAGTTAAAATCAACCAGGCAAAGTTACAGTGAAAAATAAGAGTTTTATGCAAAATTTTATCAATTGTTTGTGAGTTTGCATGGACAGTCAGGAAGCTCACGCTGAACTTGAACAAACCATGGGATGTTTAAAACAGGTAATGATTTTACAAATTGTTGATTAATCGTTTTTTTTAAAATATAGTTTACATGGTGTATTTAAGGAATAGTTGACCCCCTCATGTTAGTCTCTACATTTGTATGCTTATGCATCTCTTTACATAAAAAAAAAATGTTCACAAATGGCTGTCAACCTTCAAAAAGGGGAGAAACACCAAAAAAGGGCACTATAAAAGTTGCATAGTTAGTATTTTTAAGTAGATTCGTCATTGATTTCCAGGGCTTCAGAAACCATACAATGGCTTTGTGGCAGAAGTGAAGTGATTTTTATCACATGTTAAAATTATATATTTTTTTAAATGAAATATTCTTGTAATGTGTGTTTCAGATGATCAGCAAACCTGCAGGCTCTCCAGATGTTCATGAATTTTTCATGTCTAAAGAAGACTTTGAGCGCAAGGAGTTAAAAAAGGAAGATATTTACTCTGGCTTCATTAGAAACAGGAAGGTGAGGAAAATACAAGCCATCTCATGTCGTTGTTGGCTCCTGGATTTTGTTTTTAAATATATGTGTGTGTGTGTGTGTGTGTGTTTTGTTTTTGTTGGCAGCCTGGGGATTGCTCGCATGTGAATGTCAGCAATGAGCAGTTTCTGCAGTCTATTGTGATTGAAGAAGATGGGAAGGAGAGTTTCACTGCAGTTGTCATCACTGGAGTCCAGCCAGATCACGTCACCTACCTCAAACAGTATTTCAATCTGTGGACTAGAGAGTTAGCGTACGTCCCAAAAACACATACACAAAACCACACCACACTCTTCTGGCCATTCATTTACATGAGAGTGGTGTTTTGGGGCCTGAAAAAGAAATTTTTTAGGAAACGATACCATAATCGTCTCTGTAAACTACAAAACAGCGAATTTGTGAAAACGGTGACAGCATGCATATTACATGGTCAGTCTATATGCACATAGTGTTTCTTTACAAAGTGGCATCTCCAACTACTGGCCTGGCATGCATAATACAGCGTTTTTAGTCATTTTCTCAGATCTGTGTGAACGAAGATTGATTTGACAACATTGCCGTCTATGCGATCCACGAAGTTACCCTATAGTAAGAACTAGGACCATTACAAGTTGGACCATTTTTCCTGCCGACCAAAAACCACCACAACGTTCCGCAACATCAAATAGCAAACGTAATGAAAGCGGAACGAAACGTATCATTTTGTGTTTCACGGAAACTTTATCAGTTTGGACTAGGGGTGGGGGAAAAAACGTGGACGATTCTGAATCGATTTTCAAACCAAAAAAGTTATATTTATAACTTTTATATAACTTTTATATATAAAAAGTATATTTATAATAACGTAATATTGACAAAACGCGAAAGACCGAACTCTGAAGCGCGGAAGTGCAGTGTATTATTAATTTACTACAAGTATGCTCCTAGTTCAGGCACACATTTATTTTTTCCTGTTGGTTCTTTGCAATGTTAATAAAATATATTGTACGTTAATTTATTATGGGTCATTACTCTGTACTTTTAAAGCAAAGTATTTATAGTCACACACACACACACACAAAAGATTCAGGTAATCGCTTTAGCATCGAATCGCAGCACTCTGAATTATAATCGAATCGAATCGTGAGGTCCCTAGAGATTCCCACCCCTAGTTTGGACCAATGTCAGTGCAGCACAAGCCGATCTTAATCAAGCGACACTGTCGATACACAGCGCTAAGAGATCCAATAAAGGACGCATTTGAATTTGCCACTGAAGTAATAACATTGCTGCGAGACCTAGCGAGAAACATTCAAATTTCTTTGTTATTAATGGATCAAACAGCGCTGATGTGGAAACCTGGAGAAACATGGTTCAGTGAATGAACTAGTTAGGCCACAGATCAGCTAGCCTGGTTAAAACCAGATCATTCTCAGTTGTAACTGAGTTATGGTCTGGCAAAGCTTCATAGACAAATCATTTCCAAAGGGGCGTCACCAACGGACGTAGCTCAAATGCCTCTGGACGCAATTGGATAGACCTAAAACCAATCAGAGCGATGAAGGAGATTACGTATGCAGAGCGACGTTCTTCTGTTATAGAACAACTCGAATAAATGAGCAGACACTGATTAGGTACTTGCTCTCCGTTTATTTAAAATTAACAGCAAGACAACTAGAGGTGAATGTGCTTTCCATTTAAATAAATACCATACTGTACACGTTCCGAACCGTGACACCACTGTATCGTATTAAACCGAACCATGGATTTTGTGAACCGTTACACCCAGTGGTGTAGTGCAGGGTATACACAGCCACTTCTTTTTCAGTCGGCATTGCGAATGGATTCCCTCTGATGCACATCATTTAATTGCTAATCCAATCTCGTGAATAAAAAACACCCAGTCAGGCTCGTACCCCTAATATTAACTCTAATCGGCTGCTGCAATTATTCTCCCGTCGTGACGATAACTGACCTTCTCATCTGATCTGCTTCAGCACTCAAACACCTGCTCGTCAATGTCAAAATGTTTGAGACCAATCAAAGCATGCAGGATTTTTGTTCACAGAAGTGCGAGCCGAGCGAATCCCAACGCGATTCTTCACTTCAGTTAACGATCATACCGTGCAAGTAGCTAAAATATACGGCTGTTTTTCGATAGAAGTTTTAAATGACCGACAGAAATAATCAGTTTGATCAAAGACAGTGGAGATTATAAGCTCAATTTAACAACACAAGCACCCCGTTAAATATATTGCCATTATTATTGTATAAATATATTTTTATAACGTATCCTCGAATGTGTTCGACTTCTCACTGTTTGTATCACTCCACTTGTCTGTGTTTGCGCGGCGACTAGTGACTGTCTTTATGAGTGAGCAATTGAACCATTAATTAAAAGAACGGATTAGTCTAAAAACATTGATTAATCTAGGAAAGAAAAAGTAGCTGAAACTGATTTTCATATTTAAGAATCTGATCAAATACTTAGCTACTGTACCCCCCAACCCCCCTAGCAATATCATTTATGGGACCTGGGTATTTCGAAAACCCTACATACGGCCCCGATTAGGGATGGGTATCGTTAAGGTTTTATCGGTATTACAACTCTTACCGATACCGCTTATCGATCCGGTACTTTAACGGTATTCTTATCAGTTCTTTTTGGTGTTTTTTATTATTATTTTTTTTAAGAATTAAGAACATAATTAAACTTTATATTTTGAAATGTAAAATAGAAAAAGCAAAATGAAGAAAAATATCTTTTTGTTATGCAGCAGTGTGCAGGCTTTTTTTGTTTATACAAAAAGGACACATAAGAAAAAAAACAAGTACAAACACAAGACTACAATTAATCAAAGATACAAATTATATACAAAGTGCTTTAATTTCAGGAAGGTCTACTAACATCTTTTCAGGTAATTGTTTCTGTCTGAAAGAAACCTAGTAATCAAATATAAAATAGCACTGTATAGTTTATCATAGATAGAATAATGCTTATTAAATCTAAAGTTACTCATTCAAAAGCTGTGAGTGATTTTCTCTGCCTTTTGTTGTTTGATTTGCCTTAATGGCTGAATTGTCAGCAGGTTTAGGCTATTAGACTGCTGCCCCTTTAAGACCGAGTACAGATCTAATGGGGACTGATGCACCATCATTTTCTCCCTATTATTTACGTCTATTTGAGACACAATTGTGTTTAAGTGAATAAACTGTGTTTAAGTGAATCTCAGAGCTGGTCATTTTGACATTTTTATTTATATTTGATAGTTAAGGACGCACAAAGCCCAAGTAACTTATAGGCTACTTTTCTTGTCTTGTTGCAGTCCGTTTCGGAGCGCGCACCACCTTGTGAACAGCGTCTCTTGCGCAGGTTTTTGTGTTTTTAATAGCCATTTTTTGATCTTGCAACAGTAGATGACAGCATTTTGCAACAATCGCCGATAGTGCTGATTCTGACGGTTACGTTTGGGTTTTAGGAAGAACTGACAGCGCTCCGCAGTGCTGTGAAGTGAAGGAAGTTAAGCTGGACAGATCGTCTCGTTTTTTAACGGTTTTATCTCAAATATCTTCTTTTTATAATCTTTGGAAGCCGAAATACAAAATATATTAGAATAATATCCCAGATCTAAAGTGTAAATGGTTAAATTAAAATATAGTTTATATATAGAAATGGCTGGCGATATAAACATGTTCAAGATAACGTCTTTATAGGAATAATAAATAGTAGCCCAACTTGCGTGTATTTACTTAATTTCTCCAGTACCGACAAGCAGAACCGATAACGTCCGAGCTTATCGATACAGCGGTCTTTCAAAATTCAGTACCGGGGCCCGTTTAATACGGGGTTTCGGTACCCATCCCTAGCCCTGATATGCAAGAATACTAGTGATTCTATATGTTCTGTTGTGTTCATTATATTCTATAGTCTTGCAGATTCAATACTAATGCAAGACTAGCTTTACATGTCACTGTTTATAACAAAGAGCGTTCATCCATTGCTGGGACGCTTAAAAAAAATTATTGGGGGCATAAATTAAGAGTATACCCACTTCTCCAGGCACCACTACATCACTGGTTACACCCCTAGTAAGATCATGTAGTTAATTAATATTACTCAATAGTTAAATGTATAATTACACTATAACACGGACACTTTCAAATAAAGTGTAACCGAATCTAATTTATTTATTTGTTTTTGATTATTTAAATGCTAAAATATCTTGAGACTCTTGGAATCATGCAAAAAATATCTGTTATGAGCCAATTCTTTTTAATGAATTAGTCTCAAACTCATTTAGTTATTTAAAAAAAAACAAACGACTATATTAATAATATATATATAAATATATATATATATATATATATATAGTACATAGTGTCCTTAAGAAGTGTGAGATGAGCATCAGTTCTGTGTTAAAAGTGATGTACACACAACAGTATGCACTACTCAGTCGTCTGCAGACGGCATTACATGGTGCTTCTATAGCTAGCATTTATCTTTATTAATTTGGTAACACTTACAACAAGGTCCAAATAGTTAACGTTAGTTAATGCATTAATTAACGTTATCTAGAAAAGAGCAATGCATTTGTTTTCATATTTATTAATCTTTGTTAAGATTAGTTAATTAAAATACAGCTGTTCATTGTTAGTCCATGTTAGTTCAAGATGCAACTTTTGATTTTATTAATGTTTAGCATAATGTTTAATTTGAAATAATATTCAATTGAAATTGAACCAATATTAATAAAGTATTTTCATTGTTAGTTCATGTAATTTATGTAGTTAACTAATTTCAACAAATGGAACCATAGTGTAAATTAACATTTTTAGATTTTTTTGTGTGTTCATTTTGTGCTTTGAGATGTCTTTGTCTGTTGTTGTTTGAATAACATTAAAAACAGACAGTAGCTGGTGTAAGGAAGCAGCAGACTGAAGGGGATCCATTTGCAGCGGTTTATTAGAGTAGTCAAAACAGGCGGGAATCAACAACAGCAGACAGGGCAATGGAGAAAAGGCAAGAGACAAACCAGATAACAAGCAATGGTCGGGGCAGGCGGCGAGAAGCGAGTCGAGGTAGGCAGAGAACAATCAGAAACGATTTACACAGTCCTAGGTCAAGGTAATAAACAATCCACATGAATAAACGCTCTTTAGTAATAGCCAGGACAAATCAAGACTTCGCACTAGTGTAAAGCATGGAAGTGGTCTACCGTGTTTATATGTGTGTGTGTGTGAATGAGATGCAGGTTGTGTGCTCAATCAGTCCCAGGTAATAAGCATGATGGGAATTGGAGTTCGGTAATGTTTAATATTCCAGAGACGTCTCCCTCCGGTGGTGCAGAGGTGGCGGAACGGAAGCCTCTTCTGTAACAGCTGGTTTATTAGGCAGCTGTCACTTTAAGAGCTGTACGGATCCTGTATACTGTTACACAACTGTTTTATTTATCAATTGTTTACGTTCATTTAGGACATACAGTACTGTGCAGATGCAGAAGTCTTAGGTACACCAAAATTTTCGCCTCAAAGAAATGGGTTTAAGCCAGTTATTTATATATTTTGTTGTAGTGTCTCAGTAGGAAATATCAGTTTACATTTCCAGACATGAATTGTGCCATTAATTGTAATAATCCAGTGAAATTTTTGAATGCACAAGGATTCTGACAACAGCCAATGCTCCACACGGAGGTCGGATCTCACCATCATCGAGTGCATCTGAAATTATATGAAGAAACAGAAAAAACAGAGACTAAGACCAGAAGAACTGCGGCAACGTTTCCAAAGACGCTTGAAAAAACCTGCAAAACTAAAAACTATGTGCAATACCTGGACAAAAGCTGTTTTAAACGTAAAGGGTGCTAAACACCCATTGATTTGATTTAGTTAACTGTTAAAAGTTAATAATAGTTAACTAATAAAAGTGAATTGATAAATAAAATCTATTTATGATTGACATTATTTTTGAAAACATTTTCATTTACAGCATTTTTACACAAGTGCTTTTTCACAATACTGTAGCTTTGCTGGCAGGCAGGCAGGCACTACCTTCGAGACGTTGCCGCAGTTCTTCTGCTCTTAGTCTCTGTTTTTTCTGTTTCTTCATATAATCATGCATCGTTTATGCGGGCCCCTGGCCTTCGGGCAGTCATTATTGTCGAGCCCTGATAAAAGCTACAATTTATTTTGAAGACAAGCCATGGTCCATTTAATACTGTTTGTTTTATTTTAGGCATACTTACCATTATTATATACACGGAGCTGATGGAAAAGACACAAGAAAAATGAGAAAAACTGGCAATTTCTCCAACATTGATATTCAGGTATAGATGCTTATGTATTTCTGACACCAAATGCATTGAGCATTCGCTTTTTAAGTTCCTTTTATGCATCAGAAGGACCCTGTTTTTTTTTTCTGAAGCTCTCTCTCTCTGTTTTCTCAGATCAGTTTGTTTGAGCGTTCCACTCGAGTTCCCCGTGTGGTGAATCTGAGGGATGTGGATAATGACATGCAGACTCTGTATGTCAGCTCCAGTGCTTCTACGTTTGAGTTTAAAGCCACGGGCACTAGAGATTCCTTAGTGGAGGGATTGATCCGATATCACCCGTTCCTCTACGATCAAGAAACATACCCAGTGGATCCATATGCTGCCTCAGCAGGTATTGTGAATCAGTGACAAGAATTAAATTTAAAGGGTTAGTTCACCCAACATTTTTATTTCAGTCATTAAAAGGATAGTTCACTTTGAAATAAATTTTTGATATGTTTTAGCTTACCTCAAGGGCATCGAAGATGTAGGTGTCTTTATTTCCGCAGTAGTTTCAATTTTGATATTTTAAGGTCAAACCGTTTGTGTCTATCAGTCATATAATGGAGGTCTATGGGGTCCACTTCAAAGAGCATGCACAGAGAAGTCCAAATTAAACATGATTTAATGACTCGTAAATGTAAGTACACATTGATGGCCTAAGACACGAAACGAACAGTATTTATTTAGATTTTACCTCTTGTAACCACAGCCACGTCCAAGTGATGTGAGGGCGGGGGCTCTTTGTGGCTGTGGTTACAAGAGGTAAAATCTAAATAAATACGGTTCGTTTTCTCACACAAACCGCTCGTTTTGTGTCTTAGGCCATCAATGTGTACTTACATTTACGAGTCTTTAAATCGAGTTTTGAATCATAATTTGCACTTCTCTGTGCATGCTCTTTGAGGTGGACCCCATAGGCCTCCATTATATGACTGACACAAACGGTTTGACCTAAAAATATCAAAATTGAAAATACTGCGGAAACAAAGACACCTACATCTTGGATGCACTTGAGGCAAGCTAAAACATATCAACAATTAATTTCAAAGTGAACTATCCCTTTAATTACTCACCCTCAGGTCGTTCTAAACCCGCAAGACCTTCATACATCTCCGGACCCCAAATTAAGATTTTTATCAAATCAGAGAGCTTTCTGATCCCTCCAAAGACAGCAATTTAATTAATTTCACAGCAATTTAATTAATAGCAAATAAATTCTGTAGTCCGGGCTTGTTTTTATAATCTACGTCTACTCGCTAAAATTAAACCATTCCTATCAAATAAAGACTTCGAAAGAGTCATTCACACTTTGATTTTTTCAAGGCTTGACTTTTGTAATTCGCTATATAGTGGCATCACCGCCGCATCTTTGTCCCGACTGCAATCGGTACAAAATGCGGCGGGGAGGCTTTTGCTGAAAATAAAGAAACATGAGTCGATTACACCAGCACTAAAGTCTTTAAATTGGCTTCCAGTACAATACAGAATAAGGTACAAGATTCTAATGTTTGTGTATAAGTCGCTTAATAATCAGGCCCCACCATATCTGGCGAATCTCATAACTTTGTATACCCCCTCCAGAAAACTACGCTCAGAGAATCAGGAACTACTGATAGTACCGAGAACAAAGCGCCTTCATAAGGGTGACCGGGCATTTGCGGTAATAGGACCGAAACATTGGAATGAGTTACCGTTGCCTATTAGATCTGCAAAATCACTGCCGATTTTTAAGCATCTGTGTAAATCATATCTAATGTCCTTAGCCTACAATGAGTAGATGTGATATTTAATATGTGATATTTTAACTGGTTGAAGTATGTCTTTATTTTTATCCTTCATGGGAATTTGTTTGTGAAGCACTTTGGTTCAACTTGGGTTGTGTATTAATAGTGCTATATAAATAAATAAATAAATAAAAAAAATAAATAAATAATTATCACTTTCAAGGCCCAGAAAGGTAGTAAAAACATTGTTAAAATAGTCCATGTGACTCCAGTGGGTCAACCTTAATTTTATGAAGCGACGAGGATACTTTTTGTGCGCCAAAACATGCTTTATTCACCAATTTATCCTCTTCCATGTTTGTCTCCTACTTTACTCGCGTAGTGTAAACAGTGCACAACTTCCGGGTTCTACGTCAAAACTCTGCCTCACTATTGGCCAACGCTATTCACCTGAGTAACACGACGCATGCGTTTGATGTTGACATGGGAGCTGGCCAACAGCGAGGCGCCATTTTGACACAGAACCCGGAAGTGCTGCACTGTTTACACTACGTTAACAGTGTAGGAGAATGACGTGGAAGAGAAGAAATTGCACGATAAAGTCGTTTGTTTTGTTTTTGTGCGCAAAAAGTATTCTTGTCGCTTTATAAAATTAATGTTGAACCACTGGAGTCACATGGACTATGTCTTTACCTTTCTGGGTATTGAAAGTGATAAGGTAATGGTTGTCTATGGGGGTGTCGGAGAGCTATTGGATTTCATCAAAAATGTTTTTATTTGCGGTCGGGAGATGAACGAAGGTCTTAAATGACATGAGGGTGAGTAATTAATGATTGGATTTTAATTTTTCGGTGAACTATGCCTTTAAAGAGGACCTATTATGCTTGTTTCACGCATTACTGTGTAATGTTGCTGTTTGAGCATGAAAAAGGTCTGCAAAAATACAAAACAAAAAAAGTCTCTCCAAAGGGACTATTATAATATTATTAAACACTGTTTCTGAACTGCCTGAAACTCCTCGATTGTAGTCTTGAGTTTTCTTCCGGGAACGTACATAAGCGTTCCAAAGCCCGCCCAAAGCGTGCAACAAAAAAAGGGGCAGGGCCTGGTTCAATTGCGTTAGTACTTTGTTCAAAACTCACAGTTACTGTAAGGGGTGTTACATTTCCCAAACAAACACCCTCGAAGAAGGTAACCAAAAAGGAGGTTTTCTGAAGGAGGGGCGTAGAGACAGAAACTAACTAGAGGTCTGCTTTACATGCACTTTCCATGTGATGTAAATTTCATCATCAGGATGGTCCACAAACATGCAGGTTTAATCAGAGCAAGCCTGGGAAGAGAGGTGCGGCAACAAAGTAAAGAATATGAAAAATACTGTGTTTACTGTGTCAAAGGGTTTTTTGAACATTCAAGCATGGGAACTAGGAGAATTTACAGCTTAGACCTGAGGACCAAATACATGACGAATGAAGACCAGGAGTCAGAGATGTAATCAAACATTTTTTTTTTTTTTACTAAAAAATAATTTGCAGATACATCAGCAAAAGTCAGCTTTAACATTCAGCAATGAGTTTGTTGGCCACTCTGCGCACACACTCAATACCTGAGCAATTATACTCTTTACACAGATCACTGAACTATAGGGGTGTGCGATATCACGATTTTTGATCGTGGACGATTAAAATGTCTCCACGATCTGCTTTTGAAGAAATATCGTAGTATCGTGTTACAGTGCATTCTATCAGTTCAGTTCTGGCGTTAACAAATAGGTACGGGACACTGCAATTCACAAAAGTTCATTATTTGCATAAGCGTGGCCGGTTAAACATTTAATTCACGAGCTGATGCGCTGTTCTAACGTGCGCTTTCCTGAGCGCACACCCCCGACGCTCGCATGCACTAGAAGCCTGTCAAACAGCGCCTTAATACTGGACTAAGTTATCTTTCGAGTCTTATTATGCTAATACTGTTAAATACACACAATGTTTACATAAACAGATATGTCTAAAGTGAAAGCAAACATTTGAGAGAAAATCTGGTGTAATATGCCTCTATATTAAATGCATCGTGTGCTGGTTTAAAAGCGACGGAGTAAATAGTACTGCCGCTTGTCCTTAAAGGGATAGTTCACACACACAAAAAAAAAAATAAAAAAAAAATTATTTACTCATTATTTACTCACTCTAATGTTGTTCCAAACATGTGTTAATTTCTTTCTTGTGCTGAACACAAAATAAGATTATTTTTTTAAAGGGTTAGTTCACCCAAAAATGAAAATTAAGTCATTAATTACTCAATTACAGAACTTTAATAGTAGCTTTAATAAGAATCAATAATTTATACAGTGAAGTCTATGTAGTGTTTTAATTTCATATTTGTTCATTTAATTACTTTCTTCAATGCTACTGCTAAATACACCTTCTGTATCTGAAAAAATAAAGCAATGTTTATTTAATGTGAATATTAATTTGTGTAATGTTTATCTTGTCTTATTTTTTTTATAACAAAGAAAATAATGACAAAGATTTTTTTCTCTGCCACTGGCCTAAATGTATGCCTTTCTTTTTTCTTTGTTACCTTAGGCTTTGTTTTTAACATAGGGACATTACGTTTGGCTGTAATGAACAGCCACTTGCAAAATAGTAAAAAAGAATCGTGATAAAAAAATCGTGATCGTGATTTTCCTAAAAATATCGTGATATGATATTTTTGCCGTATCGCCCACCCCTACTAAACTATGTCATAGCTTCAGGTTGAATGATTGTGATTGGTTAAGAAATAGATAAGCTTCCACATATGGGCTGATAGTCAGAAGCATATCTCCATTGATTTTCCAGATGACAACCAAGTTACTGGTTTAGGCACAAAGTGGCCCTCTGAGGTCAAGAATTTTAGTTTCTAGGCTCCAGTTTGTCTGTCACATGGTCATTTCAGCTCCCCTGGGTGCCAGTTGCTCACCTCGCATACATCAGTTCATGTAACAAAAGGGTTCACACACACACACAGCTTCAAGGTTGGAGTTGGTCAAGCTTTAGCCCTGATCAGGAAATTTTACCAAAATATACTGACAAGATATAGTTTCTCTCAGTTGAAGGTTCAGACAGGTTCAACTAAGAATTGGTCACGTAGGAGACAGGGCTGTGTGACCCCAGTGACCTAAGCTGTCAGGGTCAGCTAGAAAAGTAAATGTATGTTTTAACTTGTGTTGTGTGCTTCTCTCACAAGCAAAGAGCGAGCACGCTGTTTCAGTAAATAGTCATGTAATTTCGGTAACTACGTAAATCTCATAAACTTGTAAAATGTATTCAAATCATTTAATATTTAGCAGGATAAATATTGATTAATAACTTGATTACAAATCCCTCATAACAAATCAGTCTAAGGATATATGTTCCAGAATCCACCCCTTCAAAACCTATTCTAATAGACCTATTCTAACCTATTCTAATAATCAATAAACCTATTCAAAACCTATTCTAACACAATCAAGTCTTTGTAAAAGGGAAAAATATGGCCTCTTTATATATTTTCTTGTTATTTTGGGACAGTAAGTTTTCATTTTACACTTTGAATGTCTAGATTATCATCAGAGGAACGGCCATAAATCTGCTGTCATTATAATCTTGGAGTAACATAGGCATAAACATTTTGTCTGTAAAGAGATGCTATAATAATAGCTTATTCCAGTTTGACTGCTAAGATAGTGTGCATACCAAGACAATTTTTTCTAAATCGGTCTGTGTGGTTGTATTTTAGGTCCTTCCGAGGATGAAGATGAAGATTGTGTAGTTTTGAACCCCGAAGGCCGTGGCAAAAGACCAATCTTTGAGTGCTTTTGGAATGGACGGCTCATTCCCTACACTACTGTCTCAGAGTAAGCTTTTTTTCTTATTCTTTAGACTTAAATTCAATGGTCACATTTTTACTTAAATTTTTGGAGTGCTAAACACTGCTTATGGGCGTTTTGTGCCAGTTTAATATCTCTTTTTGGCCCATTTTACTTGTAGAATTTTTTTTTAATATAATTACGCACATCTGAAAATAAGCCATTTTTCACTTTACTTTGGGATTGGTCAAATGTACATGGGAAATATATATATATATATATACTGTGTATATATAAAATTAAGGATCATGTAATAAAAAAAGGTTTGCTTTGACAAATTTAATTCGATTTTTGTTATATTATTAATTTAAATAGAAATGTTAATTTAAACTGTAATATTTCACTATATTACTGTTTTTACTATGGTTTTTGATCAAATAAATGCAGCCTTGGTAAGTGTAAGAGATTTAAGGATGGAAGGGCAGTTATTTGATGGACTTTTGGAGTGATTGGGAAATACTGCTTTACGGTACATTCACACAGGACATGTTCTTATGTTCAAAAACAGTTAGATGGGGTGGAATGTAACAGAACAGAGCATGCAAATTCTTTGTACATATAGACCGATAATAATAAAAAAATAGTGCTGAAGGCAAACAAGAACACGTTCTTTACAGAAAGATCTATGAGCTTCGTAGAAAGCAGAAAGATAACACAATATTTTGGACAATTTTCCTTTTTACATTCAATTTCACCTAACATGGATAACAATTTGTATGTGTGTTAGGTTTGAGTGGTGTAAAAGGCCTAAGAAAGCAGGTGCGGTGCCTTTTGAGTGTTATAACCGGATTTCAGGAGTTCTCTTCGCCAATGACCGATTCCAAGTCAGCACCAACAAACTTACCTTTATGGATCTGGAGCTTCAACTCCGTGACAAAGAGACCATTTTTACGCGAGTGAACAATGGCCAGGTACAGAAACACTCCTGAACTCTTAAAGACACATGGTTTAACACTTCTTGCATGCACATGAGTACACCCATTCTGATCTGTTTTATCCAGGAGCAGCGAGTGAAGATTGAGAGGGAGTTTACTAACTGGTTAAAGGAATGTCATGAGCGCTTTGATAAGCAGGTATGTGTCTGATAGTGTGAGGCCAAGAATGAAAAGTATGCAAAGAAAAAGCTGATGTAACTACTCGATCAGTGCTTTATGTATGGTTCCGTTGAACCATATTAATGTGCTTTTGCATTATAAATATGAACTATTTAGTGAGAAAATCACCCAAATCAAAGGGATTATATTTATTGTGACAGATGAAAGCTTTAAATACAAGACATTTAATTTTTTTTTATTATTGTTATTATCATATTGAACATAAGCCTTGTTCTCTGTAAATACAGATAATTTTTTTAAGCTTTCATAGTTGTAACAAAAAGGAATTATACTCACTACCTTAATGTATTTAATATAACTTTTGCAATTATAATAATTTTTTAGAATGAAAATATAAAATTTTAGCCCAAATACAAGGTTTGTGTCACTTTATTGTTTTGCCCTGACATTCAGTTGGTGTGTGTTTGCAGGTGATGTTTCAAGGATTTCAGGGTGTGATGACGCGTGAGGATGTCCCGAAACGCCTTCAGTCACCCTGGGCTCAATACAAAGCCATTAAGTGGGACGGCAAGACTTACAAAAAAGGACAATTAGTGAGATCTAGTCATTTTCACATTTTCACACAGTCATATACAACAACAGTGTAGGGGAGTGACACTTTTAAAAAGTAATGTCACAATATTACGTTACTCCCTAAAAAGTAAAATGATGTCACATTACTTTTAGGGCTGGGGTGTGAATATTAATTTCTGGAAATTGGAAAGAATCAATGCCTGAATAAATGTCTATATATATGTCTATAATATATATATATATATATATATATATATAATTTTGGTGATTCCATGTTCTGTGTTAATTTAATTTAAATTTCTATATATATATATTATTTTGGTGATTCCATGTTCTGTGTTAATTTAATTTAAAGTTCCCTTGTGATGAAAATCACTTTTAAATGTTGTTTATACGTCTATGTGTTGTTGTTTTTTTATTTGATTTAAGACAAATCATGTGCAAATTTATAAGTCGACACCATTGTTGAGTATTTTGTCTTTAAAACTGCAGTGAATCAAAAACGGTCTCAAAAAACATGGTTTGAAATTGCTGGTGTTTCTGATGTAACAAAATACCTTTTAACCAATCATGTTAATCACCAATCAACACCAATCGAATATGAGTGCTTATTATTGACTACAGGGGGACTATAATTTATTTGAGGTGTTTCACAAAGCCAGATCGTTCAGATACTTTAAAAAAAGCGTTTTGTGTCATTTCTGTTATGTTTATTCGCTATGAAGTAAAAAAGCTGAATGAAGACCCTTTGTAAGACAAAGGGCTTGTAAGACATCATACTGTTTGTATAAGTGTGCTGTTAGCATATTTGGTTACACTTTACAATAAGGTTTCATTAGTTAACTACTTTAATTAACATAAACTATCAATGAACAACATCTTAGTTATTGTTAATTTCAACTTTTACTGATACATTATTAATATCAAAAGTTGTATTTGTTAACATTAGTAAATGAACTGTGAACTAAAATGAACAAACAATGAAGTACTGTATTTTTATTAACTAACATTAATAAAGATTAAAAAATACTATCTACAGTATAACAAATGTATTGCTCAGTGTCAGTACATGTTAATACATTAACTAATGTTAACAAATGAGACCTTATTGTAAAGTGTTACCGCATCTTTAGTAGTCTCAGTAAACAATTAATAACATGAAAATATGTGTATTAGTCAGGCCATTTCTTTTTACATTTGTATGAATCAGAGGTTGTATTTCTAATGTTCTCAAATGTGTTTCTTTCACATTTTCAGGTGAAATCAGTGAAAACTCAGCCCATCTTCTTTGGCTCTATAGTTCAGTTCTTGCTTCACGGACACACTGAAGGTGATGTGTACGCCACTGGAGGATATGCCCAGATTGCTCTGGTGAGGAAGGATATTAATTAATGAACTCACTTTTAGAAAGATTTTGTCCATTCCATCCATTCACCCTCATGTCCATCCAAACCTGTATTTTTTTCTGCCCTGGACCACAAAAGCAGATGTTAGTCAAAATCTCTCATTTGCAAAGGAGAATTGTAACCCCAACATTAACAAAATACCATTTATTAATCATTAGGAGTAAATTGAGTCAAACAGATTTCATGGGCCATCGTTTTGTTTCGCCTGTCCAATGGATGTCTCATACAGAACTTCATTTTCTTCAATCTGTCACAGGAACATCAAGTAATTCAGAGATAGTCTTGTAAATTTTTGTTTTACTATTTAAATGATTGACAGTGCTTTGGTAACCTTCATTCTTAGATCCTGCGATCAGCGTTTTAATAATAATTTTTGTTGAGAGACATCCTAAAATGGCCTTGACAATATTATTGCAGTTCTTCTCAATTTAGTTTTTTTTTTGTTATCAAATCAAATAGATGGATGAAGATATGACAAAAGAGTTATAGTCGTGACAATTGTTGGACAATTATTCAAAGCTGCACATAGCCAGCAATGTTTAAACCCTTGTTTTAGCACATTGATTAATTGACATGTGAGTAGGAGATCCTTCACTGCTGATCGAACTCATCCGTCCACATGAATGTTTGTACTATGTGTTTTATACTTGTAAACAAGCTCAGAACATTTTGGATCTTTTGTGGCTTTTTGCTTTTGTATAAGTCTCTGTGATGTGTTTCTGTAGGAACCGAAGGAGTTGTATGATGAGCAAAGAATCATTCCCATCTTTAAGATCGACAGACTGGTCACAGACGCAGCCATTAAGGAACACATTGATAATGAGCTCACAAAGTAAGACTTGCCATTTATTCTGTATTTCACCTTAACAGGAAAGAACAGTCAAGGAGGATTGTTGCATAAAAAGTCATCAAATATTTGGTAATTCATAGTTTTTACTTCCAAAAACAATTAATTGGACCGGTTTTTACAGAACAATTACATCGAATTCAATGTTAAACCATTTACAATTTTTTTCCACCACAAATGGTAAGGTAATAGGAAACGCTTAAAAAGCATGGACATCGTTTTTTTTTTTTTTTTTGCGTCTGACCTTTTTGCATATTTTGTAGTACTGTACTCTAAATTGTGTGTATTGTAATGCAAATTTAAATGTGGTGTCACTGATGTATTTTTGTTCGGAGAAGTCGAAGACAAATTTCCACTAATGTGGACAATAAAGTCTAATAATAATAATAATAATAATAATAATAATATTTATTGGTAGGAGTTTCCCTTTCAAATGCAAAATTCATGAGAGAGTATTTGAATAAATCACACTACATGATTTACTTTAGGTTTGCGCTAGTCAGTTTACTGGTATTTGCGCCATTGTTTAACGGCCCAAAAAAGCATGTCTTAACCGATTTTGTGCTTGTCATGCTGCGATAGTTCCTGTCGGATGAATGGCAGAGAACAGAGAGAGTGTGATAGAAAGGAGAGATTTTCTCCTCTTGTGTTCATTTATTTGGAATGCTAGAGGAAGACGTTATTTGGACAAATCTTACGCCAAGACACATTATTTTTCATTTGCTGCGTCTGTGGTGTTTGTAGATCAATGTGTTAATTTGCGCTGCTCTTGATAGGTTGTCCTGTTTACTAAATCTGGCTCTTTGTTTGTGATTTAATAACTTTTTCTGATCATCAGACTTCCAGACCAGTTGAGGGTTACATGGCCTGATGGAAACGCTTGGGCTGAGAAAGATGTTCGTCCAGCTGGGACACCCATGGGTAAACAAACTCACACACATGCAAACAATTTGCAGTGCTAAACTTGCATTATATACATTAGCCATATGTAATAACCTTTATTTCGTAACTCAAGTATAACTCAAAATATACTCTCACAAGCTCATGCCCTAATCTTTTACCAACAGCACTAAGTTTTTAGAATACATCTGTTCTTGTCCAGGTCCGATTAAAGTGGATATATTGAACAAAAATGGAGAATCGATGTCTCGACTGCCTGTGGGCGGCAATTCTAAGAAACTTGGACTGAAAGTTGAACTGAAAGTCATCTGGCACTGTGAGTCACATTTATTATTTTTTTATAATTGTTTGGAAACTGCAGAAAAAGTAATAGAGTTGCGATACGTGATCTCCATCCGCTGTTAGTCGGCTGAACAGCAGGTGAAGCAAGCGCATGTTGATGAAGACCAGAGCAACGGGTAGAGATTCATTCATTCATTCATTCATAAAAATCGATTTACAGAAATGGAGCAGGGTGGGCCAGTATGGAAAAGCTGATACACAAAAGCTGTGTTTACATTTAAGTCTTCACAGTTAGAAGCTTTCTCTACCGTGAACAAGATAATAATGTTGTCATCATTCAGTACTAGGGATGGGCAACGATTAATCGCGATTAATCGCATCCAAAATAAAAGTATGTGTTTACATAATATATGTATGTGTAGTGTGTATAATAAATTTTTAGATATAAATTCCCACACATGCATGTATATATTTAAGAAAAATGTGTTATTAATATATCAAATATTTATATATAATATTAATTATGTATAAATATATATGAAATCTATACATGCAAATATTTCTTAAATATATACATTCATGTGTGTGTATTTATATATACAAATTAATTATACACACTACACATACATATATTATGTAAACACAAACTTTTATTTTGGATGCGATTAATCGCGATTAATCTTTGCCCATCCCTATTCAGTACTCAATTGAAATCACCCCCTAAAAATCCCATATTCTTACAAAGTTGTTTAAACTTTAGGACCACATGTGACAAAATCAGGACAGTCTATATTTGGAGCAAATATACATAATGCTCCAAATACTTACTCCTCAATCCTCCATTCAACTTCTTCTAGGTGAGTTTCGGGGCCCATAATTTTCAGTGAGGGCAGTGAACAAATTCTGAAGACAAGATACCGAGTTAGCAATCCTATCTAGATGGATAGTGATACCATTGATGCACAATCCATTGAACTTAATTTCTGATAAAATCAGCGACATATCCGTGGGCGAATCGACTAAGTTAGCATTAGCCAATGGCGCACGATGAGTAGTCATCTTGTCCTTCTCTTCAGCCTTTTGCGAACGAGTCGAGCCAAAAATAGGAAAATCTTTGTCAGAAGGTGTATCTGACATAATTATATGTCTGTTCAACAGCACGAAGTGAGAATTCAGGGGGAAGAGAATGTAAATTATTGGAAGTTTGAGCAGAGAATTCAAGCAGTCATTTTTCTCTGGGTTACGTGATATCTTATAGTGACAGTAATTTCTTAATTTTTGTCACAAGTCAATGCATTTAAAGGGATACTCCACCGTTTTTTTTTTTTTTTTTTCATATTAAACTGTTATTCCCTTAACTAAGATGAATTGATACATACCTCTCGTCGAGACACTTTGTTAGCAATTAACTAGCCCAGTTTATTCAATAGGATCCAAGCAGAGAAGCAATCAAACACCTCCATGTTTTCCCTATTTATATACAGTTACACGAGTAGAGTAACTCGACCAAGAATGGTGACAAAATAAAATGTTGTGAAGTGGATAACTTTAATGTATGGCGGAATACCACAGCAAGTGCTTGGGAGCACTTTGTCTCGGCGCATATATTTCTATGGACTCGGCGCAGTAATAACATACATTATAGTTTAGTGCTGAGACGAGAGAAGTATATATCGACTCATCTTAGTTAAGGGAATAACAGTTTAATATGAAAAAACGGTGGAGTATCCCTTTAATAGTAAATATGAACCTCTTATGCATCCACCGAGAATAAAACTCTTGTATCATAGAAGTCATAATACTTGACATTCCAGGAAATCCCTTACAAATCCCTTCCAGCTTTCGCTGCTGCTGAATGAAAAACGCATAGAAACATTTGGAATGAATAAACATAAAGACAATACACATGATTGTGACAATATAAAGTTTTATATATTTATATATATGCACGACTGGTGTTATATAGTGAGTGGAACAAAAACATTATATTAATCTTATAAATTATGTCTTGACACTGTCCTGCAGAATCTCGGTCCAACTTGCCTCAACACACCTGCCTGGAAGTTTCTAAGTATGCCTAGCATCTTGATTTATTGGGTCAGGTGTGTTTATTTGGTGTTGGAGCTAAACTTTAGAGGACAGTGGCCCTCCAGGAACAGGATTGGACAGTCCTGTCATAGTCTCATAGCGCACTTGCAGAATGCCACTTAATTTATCACATAAAAGCACATCAATTATTACATTTTTTAACGACTGCATGATTCTATGTCTACGTAAACACATCATATCCACCTTATTATTTTTTATTAAATCATATATAAAAACAAAAAATGAACTTTTTACTTTTCTTCATAACTTCCAAAGGATAGCTGGTGCATGACTACACAATCTCCCTAATCCTGCAATACATGAACATCCGACAATTTCTATCACCCAAGCAATACGTTTAGGCTGGTTAGCCCTTTGACTCCTGAGTAGAGAACCGTTTAGTCAGTTGAACCCGCTAAGAATCATGGGAAATAGAACAGGTGCAGAATAAGGTCAATAACTATGTAAATGCAAATTTAATGTAAATTGGTGTTATTCTTTTTAAAGTTTATATAGAATATGCTACTGAAATAGTTTTATAATAGTTTTTAATGTGCATCCTTTTCTTCCTTCAGCTCCTAAAGGAGATGTCGAGACTAACACTTACACTGGAGTGCATTCACCCAAATGGGAATACTGGTTCAAGGCCATGGGTAAAAATCTATGAATCATTACATGTTCGGTCACGTGACTTTGCCCACCCCAATTTTATGACCATGTGCATGCTATTGTATTTTTACTAAGAAAGATTAATAAATGTATTCCTCATTGTCAGTTTATATTAGTAATGCATTACGGGAGTGTTTTCTCTTCCAGAGAATCTCAGTAAGCTTGGGATGTACACACTGCATCTGCAGACTATTCTTAATGACAACCAATCCGATGAATGGGCTGGAAAAAAACTACCCAATTACACCCTCAATTTCTCGATTAAAGGTAAAACACACATTGGCCTGGTTTACACTTGGTTTTAAGACCGGTTCTGGGTTATTAGAGGGATTGTTTTTAATTTTTATCATGATCATTATGAACTGTCGTTTTATGGAAAAATAGCTGTTCTAAAAATATTTAATGAAAACTAAAATTTGTTAATGATGTGATTTTAATGAATCTTATTAATCTTATTGATTTTAATGAATTTTCATTTTTTTTTATCATCATTTAAGTAGCTAAATTATAAAATATTCTGTTATACGAGTGAAGCGTGATTATTTTATTTCACTACAATGTAAAATCATAAAAAAATGTGTTTCTAGTAATAAAATAAACATGAACTGAAACAAATTATATTTAAAAAAAGACTTGAACTTATTTTTCCCCTAGTTAATTTTCATGGAAACATTTCTCATTTTCATTTGAAGTTAATATACTGAAATAAACTCGAACTGAAGGAATATTTTATAAAAACTACATAGTCATGTTTTTTATATTTTGAATGATAATTACATAATACATATTATAGGATCCAAATTATAATTACAATAACACAGGAATGAAGTAAAAATAATAATAATTCCTGTGAGATTCCATGTTAAATCTTTGTCTCTTGTCTCTGTGTTTCTTCAACAGAAGGTGAGGCAGTATATTTTAAGCTAGGCATGGTTTCTACTCCTGTCCATGTGGGAGTTCCCTTCAATATTCCTCTAGACTTTAAGGATGAGTTTGAATATCCCACTCAGCCACCCTGTAACATTGAACCTCAGCTGGAATGTGGGTAGGTCAAAATAGATGCACACATGCTAGAGTACATATTTTAGAAATGTCCTTGTAACAAAGTTCATAGTTCAGGGTAAGAGGAGATTGGATCAAATGATCAATGGAACTTTAATTCACAAGATAATAGGTGTGTAACGATGATGATGTTTGATGCTTGATGATAACCAGAACTAAAAGAAAAGAGCATATCACACCAGTTTTAAAATCTCTACACTGGTGATCTATAGAATTGATTTTTAAAAATCTTTTTTCTTGTTTTTAAATCACTGTTTGACTGCAGTATCTTATGCGCCTTATAATCCGGTGCGCCATATATATGAAAAATGTTCTAAAATAGGTCATCCATTGAAGGTGCGCCTTATAATCCGGTGCGCCTTCAAGTGCGGAAAACACGGTAAGTGTTAAAGAAACTCTTGAACTTAAATAAAATGTTACAAAAATGTGCGCAATGTAAAAGTTTAAACATAGAACAATCAAGGTAAACTTTGAGGTAGATCAACATCTGTAGTAAGTAGGGGTGTAACGGTTCACAATGTACGTTTTCCTACATCTTGAAAATTTTAGTTATAAACAAATAATTTTTTGGTCATCACATTAAAAATAACATTTAAATATGATAATATTTGTCAATATATTTAACATTTTACTATTCCTGCCAAACTTCCATGGTTACAGTTAGTGTTACTTCATTAAATCCATGGTGAATGTTGCTGATCTGTGGACTTAAAGCCGATAACTGGTTCATTCACGGCACAATGTTTCTCTATGTTTCCAAGTTAGCGCTATTTAATCCGTTAATAATGGAGAAATTTGAATGCTCCTCTCTAGATCTCACAGCGATGTTCAAATGCTTCCTTTACTGGATATCTTAGGGCTGTGTAGTAACAGTGTCGCTTGTTTAAGATCAGCTCACGCCGCATTGGTCCGAAGTGATAAACGGTCCGTGAAGCACAAAATAATGAGTAGGGCAGTTTTCGTTACACATTCATTACGTTTGCCGTTTGATGTACGGTAACGTTGTGGTGGTCGCTCCATCTTTAACTTTAACTTCGCAGTCCACTAATGAATGACAGTCGAATGGGACGCAACTTCAGTCAACACGATTTGGAGAAGACGTGATATGTGAACGGCCCCTAAGATCTACGGGCAATGCACGCACATTTTAATTAAAATATCGAACGCTATATTGAAGATTTTTTATATCGTTACCGACAATGGTGTACCATCGCCCAGCCCTATGTGAACATGTCAAATTAACGTTCAAAGACTTTAGATTTTACGATCAGAGAATTCTTTAAGAATTTGCTAAATTTGTCTCAGACAGGCATATTGTGGCCAAAATCGCTTAAATGTGTGTTTGTAGGTGGCTACAGACAATTTTCTATCTTGAATTTCTGTGTGTTTTTTTTTATGATGAAAAAATGTCTCTTTCTCTTTAGTTCACTAAAGTTGAGCTATGAAGGGATTGCATTCGGGACCACTTCTGTCATTAAAAATGTGAGGGTCATGGGAAAGATCAGCCGTCAAAGCAAGGTTAGTAGTGTTTTATATCATTTTATCATTCTGGGCAAAGTTTACTCTGTTCAAGATTCACGACCAATTCGGCACCGAAACATTGACTCAACCAATATTATCTTTTTGTATGAAATGTTTTAAGTGAGTTTGCTGATTTTCAGCCTGCATTGTATATTGGTTGTATATGTTGCAGTGTTGTAGAATTGCCTACTAAAAAGATACTAAAATACAATTTTCATTGACTAAAACTAGACTAAAATGTCATCGGTTTTCGTCGACTAAAACTAGACTAGACTAAAAAGAGTATGAACTTGACTAAAACTAATAAAAACTAAAATGTCAGCTTGACACAAAGACTAGACTAAAACTAAAATTAAAACAGGCCGCCAAAAACAACATTATTGACTGTGTATTTGAAGAGGCTTGTAAGAGAAAGGAATGTTTTCACACATGGCGACTTGCTAAAACGTATGCTAAGCTGAGGCTTTTATTGTTAATTGGGTTGGGGCCTAAACAGACTTGAGTCGCAGCAAAAAAAAAGGTAAAAAGTAGTGGGATGTATGAAATGTACTGATGCGCCTTGGAGGAGTGCTTATGGAAAACCATATAAAAGAGAAGACAGACTCTATAGTTGCTCTGCAGACTGGTCAAGAATGTTTTCATGTACATATATAATGAGCAGATTATTGCTAAACGGATGCATGAAGGGGGTTTGGAGAACACCGTTATGAAGAAATGTGCTTCTTTACAACGTGATATTGATATTTGTGTGTTTGTGTGTTGTTAACAGATGTACACAGTGAAGGTCCACATCCCAGGACTGAAGGAGAACAACCAGTCTCTTCAAATTCTTCTGCAACCCGGTATGACTGAAAAAAAAAAACCCCACAAAAGCAGCAAGAGAAAGAAGACCTGTAAATCAGAATGTAAAATCCAGGTGAAATTTATCTTTCAGGCCCGCCGCACACTCTGGTCGTGTTTCCGGAGGAAGGCATGCTCTCTGTCGAAAATAGGACTCCAGCGATCTTAAAAGTGGAAGTTCACGATGAGTACCGAAATATCACCACTCATCCTAAACTCGTGGTCCGCTGCCAGGTAGAACTCATGAACAAACATAAAATAAATTATACTATCAAATTAATACAGACTCATGCTAATTATAGCTAAAACAAAACTACCCCCCAACAAAATGTCATAATTAGAGTTCATTAAAACACTGAGGAAAACAAACAGGATGACTCTGCTGATCTGTTATTTGAGCTAAATGCATAATCACTTGGTGGAGTTAGGAAAGTGAAGTAGAAGAAGAGCGGTACTAGTGAGATCAGCGATTTCAGAGGGAGGGGATCTGATGACATCCCGAATGGCTGTTTCATTGTGGGGGTGTAATTAGTAGGGGCGTGGTTTGTAGTACTGTGGGATGCAGTCTGACACACTTGGAAAGTTCTGTGTCAGAAAGTTCTAAAGAACAATAAGATCTCATAAAAGTACTGTTTTTCTATCATATCTGAAATTTTTATGGGCATTTGCATTCATTTTGGTGACATTTTGACACAATTCCCTTTAATTTCTGACCATTTCAAACAAGATTGCATGAGTGTTTGAATTGAGATTGTGATCTTTTAACGATAAATCAAGAAGCTTTAATGACTGGTTAAATGAACTTTTCAAACAAAAAATTTATTGTATTGATTACATTACATTGAATCAGAGTTAATTTGGCACAGGATTAAAGTTCATCTTCTGATTGGTGCAATGTGTGTTTGTAGTTGCTGGGAGCCCCTGATCTGCCGACGGATGTGTTGGACTGCAGTAACACTGGCTCTGGACTCATGCTGACCAAACCACTAATGCTGAAGACCGTAAACACTGAAAAAATCCTTACTGCAAAGTTCAACATTCCTGTAAGTTGCTGTACTACTGATACAATATGTGACCCTGAACCACAAAACCAGTCATTTTGACATATCGCAACCGAACCTCAAAATTCACTTTGCTTATCCATGTTCCACTTGTCCTTGAGGAATAGCGCAAGTACTCTTATGCATTTAATAATAAGCATGTCCCATTTTATGAAACTCACCTTACATGATTTTACTGATTTGCACATTAAGTTTGGGCGTTTAAGGAGGAGCGGAACAGAGCACAATATTCGTTTTATCTCAACTCTCATATTTTTATTTGTTGGAAGCTAAAATTGAATTAATCACAGAGCTCTATTATAAACATCATGTTGCCCCTTTTTGTGTCAGTTGAAAAAGAATTTTACAATTCGGCAATGTAAAATTAATTATTTTGTTTATTTTTTTGGTGAATAGTGTATATTGTTCAAAATAAGTTTTCAATTAATTAGTTATTATAGCTTACACTAAATTACATTAACTGTTTAACCTGCTTAAACCGTTTCTCTTGATATCCACATCATTATATTTATGTGCACCTAGAACCATAAAACCGTGGCGTGTGTGGAACGTCAATTGCGCATCTTGCCCAGCACACAAATATCTCGTTTGGAGGTCTACAGACAGGAAGAGGGCTCTGATGATGTCATGGTGCTGCAAAATTTGGAACGAATTGATTGGACGGCAGGAGACACACTAGGAAACCTGCACTTCAGACTGTATGACGAGGGCAATAGACTGGTTCCTCTTCTGCCAAATATTACCAGCAAGATTAAGGTTTGAGTTTGATTATATATGTGATTTGTTTTTGTATTTTGTTTCCTTCAGACTGGAGACTTGATCTGTTTGCACTAACATACTATTGTACTCAGTAGTGTGTAGATGTTTGTGTCTTTGTGATGTCTTGCAGGTGAATTGGACCGCAAAGTTAAACGCAGAAGAACTTTCTCAAGGAAAACTGCCAGATTTGTGTGTTCCAACTCAAGCTCAGAAAGAGCATTACTGCGATGTGTCTTTCCACGACCAGCACTCGGTCAACATGTCTTTTTTAATTGTGTAAGCTTCACTCATGTGCTGTTTATGTCTGTTTTTCATTATATACCTAAATATTCTTGCAGAAGCATATCTCTATACTGTGTGTGTGTCTCTCCAAAGGCCTCGTCCAGATGAGCCTGAGCGTTTGCGGGTCAACCTCTTTGAGTCGTCTGTCAAAATGGGCGAAATTCTCTCAGGAAACATATGTAAGTACCATCTATAGATTTTGTCTTAATTAATAATAATAATAATAATAATTTGATCTGTATTGACCATCGCCTGGTAGAAACATGTAATATAAAAGACTACTTTCAAAAACATTAACAAATCTTACTGACCACAATTTTTTAAATGGTAGTGCAAGTTTGTCACACAAATCTATTGTATGACTTCAGGCAACTTGTGATATAGCACTCAAGTTTGTATATTACAAGCTTAAGTATATTCTTAATTATAAAACTATTAGTTTCAGTCCTTGATTCTGATTGGTAAATATGTCAAAAATGTTTTCAGACACTTGATTGCATGTTAATTGCACTTAAATGAAAATGTATTATAGTTTAAATTTATATTTAATACATTAAGTTGAACTTTAGAGTTCTTTTTGACCCACTTTATGTAATTTCATAATTCTGTTGTCTTGTTTACTGCCGAATGTACTGTATTTATGATAAAATAAAGTGTGTGTATGTGTTAATGTAATTTCTATTGAAACTAAATGTGTCGCTTAACAGACACTTCATGTGTAGATCACTCAGCAGTCATGTGATTGTTCAAGACGATTAAACTTATATTTCCCTCCCAGATGTAGAAGTGATTGATCAGTATGGGAATAAAACAGACTGTCTAAATGCTGAAAGTGTGAAGACTTTGAGTGTGTCTGCGGATAACTTGGATAAAGGAGCTCTGGTTGTAGAATGGCAGGTAAGCACAACCACAGGTGCAAACAAATGGACATTTTTACTACAAAAAAAAAATACATAAAAAAATAGTTCAGACTAGTTCAAATGTGAAATTATTGTTTGTATGAAATTAGCACCAACCAAATGCGGGTAAATTTTCTATTTGGCTAGTGAATTTCGCAGTGTCATAAGTCACTTTGCATGATGTTTGTTTTATTACATCTTGATTATTTTAATAATTATTATTTTTGAAATTGTAAAATTGTATTGATTATTTGTATTTGTATCCTGTGGCACAGAGCACCTCTGAGTTACGCCACATTCGGTAATGATACTGTAAACACTTTTTGGCAGAGGTCACCTATGCTTATAGTTTTAAAATGAATTATATATTTGACTTGTAGTTTAGTCATCGAAACTTCGATATGACATAAATTGTTATTGATTTGCATTCTGCCAGCCAATCACTTTGTGTACTACATGGCATGAGATTATATATTTTTAAAATTGTTTCATGCATTTATTTGATTGCCACCATTTGTGACAATAAATTTGAACTAGAAATGTAGAAAAAAAACGACAACAGAAGTTTTGAAAAAAAAAAAGAAATCACATGCATTATTGTAAAAAAAAAAAAAAAAAAAATTGTTAAAGGTGCTATATGTAGTTTTTAGTGGCCTCTAGCGGTGATGTTTCAGATTGCAACAAGAGCACTCTTGCTCGAACTCAAGAACGAGCACTCACTACCAGCCACACGGAGACTTTCAACACAATGGAGAAAGCATCACACCACATGCTGGAAACTCATGTAAACTCCCACTGCAACGTTACAATAATAGGCTACTTTTATCAGCTTGACGTTGAACTAATGATCCATGAACTAATGCATTTAGCATTAGTATAGTAATAATGCATTCGGCATGTGGTGTTAGCTCTGTCCCAAATGGCACACTCCGAGTTCGGACTTGTGGACTTCCTCAGAGTCCACACTTCGGTGACGTCATGTAGTGCAGACCTAAAGGGCCCTTAGCGCGAGGGCGTATTGAGAGGTATTTTTGGGACAGACTCGATCGTCACGCCGGAAACAGAAAGAAGGTCTGGTTGTTGTTGTTTTTACTTTTGTTTTTGCAAGATGTCTTTTCATGCGGAGAAATCATATTTTTGCGCTCAGACGCATTCCTCATGCCTGTGAAAGCCTTATCCCTCTCCATACGGAGCTGAATATGTATATGTATATGTATGTATAAACTGTAAGTAACAACTGGTAAAATGTACGCCTATGTCATAAGAGTGGTCATGCACGCCACATCCGATGGATTTCGCAGAAAGTCCGACCTGAAGACTTAACGTAATAGGAATACTGGCCTTCAGAGATAATAGCAAAACCCTACAAGTGGATCATTGTAATGTGTGATTACAACCCCTTCAAAAAAGGATTCATTTTAGAAGAAAAGTTACATATAGCACCTTTAAAGTTTTATGAACTCAATTGATTATACATTCTTTTTGATGATTAAAGTTGAGTTATATCATTAAAATGGAATGCATGGAAGTTTGGGGAAAAAATAAAACTCAATTTATGAAATGTAGTTTTTGTAACATTTTTAATACATTAATCCAGAATAAACAAAGTCTGGAGACCTTATTTGCAACTCTTCCAGGCAGCTGTTTCAGGCGTCCAAGAGCAAGTCCTCTGTTTAAATAGAGGAATCCTGAATTATATCCCTGAATTATATATTTTATAAATAAATGCCTTATTTAGGAGGCGAGATTTATTCCTCCATGTTGTCTGCTGGTCTTTTTCCTATTCATAAGTAATATGAGTGCACTGTCTTTTGAAGTCTTTAAAAATCAAAACAAACAGATTTTTCTTGCCAAAAAAATTTATGTCTTTATTTTTTTAGTTATTTTAGCATTTAGTGTTTTCATCTTATTTATTTGTATGCCTTTTTTCAGGCCAGTATTGGGAAATTATCGGTATGCGGTGTCCGGTTCATGACGGGATCTCTTGGCCCAAAAGAGTTGTGTTTTAAGTATATGGACATGATGGAATGTGCACGAATTGAAGTTACTGCGGGACATCCGGCTAAGATAATTCTACTGGAGAAGCCAGAGATTGTATGTCACACATTTGAAACGCAATAAAATAAAATCATGTATCATAATATTTATATAATATATAACTTCTCTTTAGCCTTTCCAGGTCATGAATGGCCATGGCTTGGACACACCACTGGTCATGCAGCTGTGTGATAAATGGGGAAATCCTTCTCCAGATCAGCGGATTGAGGTTGAGATGAACACTCTGTACTCAGAATTAAAGGTACAGTTGAGAGGAAGGGAGGCTGGTGGATTTGTATTGACAAACATTTTTTTTTAACTCTTCTTGGAAAGTTAATAATACTAAAGCAATATTCCTAAAATGCCACAAGATACAAAATTGTATCACCTCTCTAGACATCTAAAGTTTTTTTTTCTAATTAATAATCAAAAAACAAATGCTTTAGAAAGATTATGTTTATGTAGAGGGGTTGGACAAAAAAACTGAAACACCTGCTTTTACTACACAATAACTTGTTAGAATGGTGAGGGCCTCATTTTGCATCCAAATACAGCACCAATTGACAGATAGAAGTCCTTCACAGTGACCAGAGGGATTATGAGCCGTTCATCTTCCAGAACAGTGTCCAGGTCACTATATGATGCAGGTGGACTCGCTCCTCCAAAACACCTCAATAATATTCAGATCTGGTGACTGTCAGACCATGGGAGATGTTCAACGTCACTTTCATCTTCATCAAACCCTTCTGTCACAAGTCTTGCTGTGTTTGTTGGTGCATGATCATGCTGATACACGGTTTGAGCAGCAGGTGCTCATGATCCTCCAGAAGGGTTTGGTAGTCCTCGGCAGTGTCGTGTCCATCAAATACAATCAGGATTGTCATGATATTGGAGCTCAAACCATCACTGATCCACCCGTGCTTCGCTCTGAAGATTGGCCGCCAGGCATATAGATGTGAAACCTCCAACATTGGCCAGTGTTTCAGTTTTATTGTCCAACCCCTGTAGATTATGTAGGCCCAAAAATCTGTGTGATCTGTGATCACTGACATAAAATTCATAATGTCTGATCACTGAAACATGTGATTTCCTAGTTGCATGAATGTGAAACAATTGCATTGAAAATTTAAAACATGAATGTGAAAATTTCCATAACTTTATCATTTTTGGACCAATGGTCTGTCTATTTGCATTTGGAATCAAGCAAAAGTTCCTACAGAGTACAGGACCTGAAAATATAAACTGTTAGTTTGTATCGTAACATAAGAGCTCATTTCCTACTGATCAACTTGGATGTAATCCAATTACTGTATTAAGGTGATACAATTTTTGAATCATTTTTCTTTTTCTCTTTTAGATAAAGTCCTCAGTGACGTCTCAGCCTGTAGATTCCGAAGGAAAAGCTTGCTTCATATTAGAAAGTATAAGTGGTCCAAAGTAAGTACATATTTAGCTGTATGAATTCTACTTCACACATTTCTACAGCGTCTAACTGATCAACATGATGATAACCTGAAAAGCCAGTTCAACACATTTACCGAACACAAGCAACTTTTACTTTATTATTTACTTTTTTTTTTTTTTAAATCATGAGTATTAAATATACATCAGGCTTTTGAGGAACATTTGTTCATCTCTTAATCATTGTATTGCATTGGATTATACGTTTTAAATACAAAAGAGTTTTGATCGTAAAAGTAAGCGTTTGAATGTATTACTAAGGCATTATTGGGAATTATAGAGTGGAAACTAATATGTATGTGCAATTTATGGAAGTAGTCTGCTATACTAATCTCATGGCTATACTGATCTCACTGATTTTCATTACAAACTACAAGAATTTGGTCTTACTTTTTGGCCATATAAAGATCAGTATCTGCACCAAATTACATCAATTTGTTAAATTTGGGCCTCAGAATGAAATTTAAGTTTTTTTCCTATGAGTATGAGCTCCCTATTCACCTAGGGGTGTGCGATATGACGATTTTTAATCGTGGACGATTAAAATGTCTCCACGATCTGCTTTTGAAGAAATATCGTAGTATCGTGTTACAGTGCATTCTATCAGTTCAGTTCTGGCACCTCCGTCTCTCAACTGTACAACGCGACGTAGCACATATCACACGTTAAGGAATAGGTACGGGACACTGCAATTCACAAAAGTTCATTATTTGCATAAGCCTTGCCGGTTAAACATTTAATTCACGCGCTGATGCGCTGTTCTAACGTGCGCTTTCCTGACCGCATAACCCCCGACGCTCGCATGCACTAGAAGCCTGTCAAACAGCGCCTGAATACTGGACTAAGTTATCTCTCGAGTCTTATTAAGCTAATACTGTTAAATACACACAATGTTTACATAAACAGGCTATGTCTAAAGTGAAAGCAAACATTTGAGAGAATATCTGGTGTAATATGCGTCTATATTAAACGCGTCGCATGCTGGTCTAAAAGCAACAGGAATAAATAGTAGCCTACTGCCGCTTGTCCTTAAAGGGATAGTTCACAAAAAAAAAAAAAAAAAAATCCGTCATTATTTACTCACTCTAATGTTGTTCCAAACCTGTATTAATTTCTTTCTTGTGCTGAACACAAAAGACAATTTTTTTTTAATGTGGGTAACCAAACAGTTGCTGGTCCCCATTAACTTCCAGGAGAGAACCTATAATAAAAACTATAAGGAGACCAGCAACTGTTCGGTTATCCACATTATTCAAAATAACTTTTATTTTCAACAGAAGAAAAAAGAAACTTATTTGGGTTTAAAACATCTTGAGAGAGTAAATTAAGACAATTTTCATTTTTGAGGGAACTATCCCTTTAGTGTTAATAAAACAAAACAAAACAAAAAAACACAAGGAGAAAATCACTCACTGACTGAGAACTTTAATATATCTTTAATAAGAATCAATTTATTCAGTGAAGTCTATGTAGTGTTTTAATTTCATATTTGTTCATTTAATTACTTCAATGCTACTGCTAAATACACCTACTGCATCTGAAAAAAGTAAAGCACTATTTATTTAATATGAATATTAATTTGTGTAATGTTTATGTCTTATTTTTTTAATAACAAAGAAAATAATGACAAAGATTTTTATCTTCGCCACTGGCCTAAATGTGTGGCTTTCTTTTTTCTTTTGTTACCTAAGGCTTTGTTTTTAACATAGGGACATTAGTTTGGCTGTAATGAACAGCCACTTGCAAAATATTAAAACAAACTTGAAAAAGAATCGTGATAAAAAATCGTGATCGTGATTTTCCTAAAAAAATCGTGATATGATATTTTTTCCATATCGCCCACCCCTATATTCACCTATATTAATGGTTCGACTTTTGGGTTGCAACCCACCGATTGAGAAACATTACATTATCCTATATTGTATTCTATGAGCCATAAAAGCCTGATTTATCAAACTAAAAAAAAAAAAAAAATTTTTTTTTTTTTTTTTTTTTGTAGTTTGTCTAAAGGCTATATATATTATATATTTTTTACATGCTATTTTAAATACTGCAAATTCTAAAAAACAAACAAACATTGTTGTCCCTTTCTCCCTTTCACTGTCTGTTTCTCACTCTTTCTTTTATAGAGGGGAGCATCATTTGGAATTCAAGGGATGTTTTGGCAAGAAAGCCATTCCAGGGCCGGTAATTAGATTAAATCTGATTCCTGATCCCAACAAGCCTGATAAACTCTGCATTGAGTATGACAGCGCTGCCAAATTATGTGCTGGAGAGGTCTTTCCAGGTGTGTGTGGATGCACAGTAAAGCCTATATTGTAAAATTAGTAAAGAGCACTATGTGAATCACATTTTTCTACTGTCTACTAGAGTTTACAGTGTTTGTGATGGCTGAAGAGGGTGGGCCAGTAAAAAACATCTGCCCAGCAAGTCTTTCAATGCTGCTCTGGAAAGGCATAGCATCAGGGTCCAGACCACACCCTGCAGTGAGTCACTCTGTTTATCTTTATTTCGACACTTTACTAAACTACAACGGTGGATTTCAACAAAAAATATTATTCAATGACAATATATTTATTCATTAAAGGCACACTATGCAGGATTCCGTTTTCGTGAAACAGCGACCCCTAGAGTCGCTGCGGAGTACTTGTATTTAACATTAATGTCGTAAATGCCTCTCACGCAGAGCGTCTCTGCACTCACGGCCTGATACCCCTTCAAATCTGTTATATTAAGGTACAAATCTTGTATAGTGTGCTTGCTTAGATTTCTTGTAAATAAGAGATCTAGGGGGTGTTTAAGGGTGGGCCTACTAATGATATTAGACTGCATAGCCTATAATAAAAGTAGAGTTGTTTCGATCCGATACCAATAAAAATTCTGCCATCGGTATCGGCGAGTACTTCTACCCGCTCACCGATCCGATACCATTTTCTTAAACAATATTTAGTTATGCACACTTGCTTTGCTTAATGCTGCAAATTTTTGCACACCAAAAAATAATTCTATTAATTCATACAGTGCTAGTATGAATTGCAGCTGTATAGATACTGCACACACCCAGGTATCAGATCAGTACTCTGTATCGGCTGATACCCTGAGTCCAGGGTATTAATAGTTTTTATAAACCTGATATAATTAATAGTTTATATTAACCTGAACCTGTTCAATGAACGGAAAAAAAACCTGCAAACGAACGAAATTTTGACAGGAACGTAACCCGAAACGGAAACAAAATCAAATTTAATCATTCTGAACAGAAACGCTTATTTGAAATGGCCATCTTGATTTTAATCAATACTGATAAGGATTGTTAAATCTCAAGATCTATCTTTTAGTTAACGTTACTAAACATTGGTAGCCTGTCATCCAATAATCTCAATAAGCTTTGTTACTTTTAATCAACAAATTCAAACAGACTAAATTGTAATAGCATGCATGAGATAATAATAAATGTTTGAGTGTTTTATGTTTTAACTTAGGCCTCTGCTCTGAGGTGTAGTAAACGCAAGGACACCGAAAAGGATGAGTGTTTCTGCTTCAGGTAATTAAAAAAAGTATTGTATATAGAAAAGTATTGCATGTCTTTATTTCTTAAAAACATTGAAACAGGTTTGTTTTTTTTAATCATTAGTAATAATATTTGAAAAACCTTTAGATAGACAGATGTGATGGATGGATGGATGATTGGAGATAGATGATTGAAGATATATAGATGATTAAGTGATGGTGGAATAGATGGATGGATGGATGATTGGAGATATGAAGAGTTCAGATGCAAAAGCCTCTAAATGCCATTTGAAATTTTCTTCTAAAATGACCATTTTTATCAAGCTTGTATATTTAAGTTCAGTAATTTCACTTAAATGACAATTAATATGTAGTCTTCATTGCCATTTAAGTGAAATTACTGAACTTAAATATACAAGCTTGATAAAAATTATCATTCTAGAAGAAAGTTTCAAATGGCATTTAGAGGCTTTTGCATCTGAACTCTTCATATATAGATGATTGAATATATATATATATATATATATATAGATGATTAAGTGATGGTGGAATACATGGATGGATGGATGGATGGATGATTAGAGATATATAGATGATTGGAGATATATAGATGATTAAGTGATGGATGGATGGATGGATAATTGGAGATATATAGATGATTGAAGATATATAGATGATTAAGTGATGGTGGAATGGATGGATGGATGATTGGAGATATATAGATGATTAAGTGATGGTGGAATGGATGGATGATTGGAGATATATAGATGATTGAAGATATATAGATGATTAAGTGATGGATGGATGGATGGATGGATAATTGGAGATATATAGATGATTGAAGATATATAGATGATTAAGTGATGGTGGAATGGATGGATGGATGATTGGAGATATATAGATGATTAAGTGATGGTGGAATGGATGGATGATTGGAGATATATAGATGATTGAAGATATATAGATGATTAAGTGATGGTGGAATGGATGGATGGATGGATGGATGATTGGAGAGATATAGATGATTAAGTGATGGTGGAATGGATGGATGATTGGAGATATATAGATGATTGAAGATATATAGATGATTAAGTGATGGTGGAATGGATGGATGGATGATTGGAGATATATAGATGATTGAAGATGTATATTTAGATGATTAAGTGATGGTTGAATAGATGGATGGATGGATGGGTTGATGATAGATAGATGATGGATAGATGGATGGATGGATGGATGGATAGACGGATAGACGGATGGATAGATAGATGGATGGATAGATAGAAATTTATGCACTTTTAATGTCCATCTTTTTCAGGGATAAGCAGATTCCAGAACTTGCAGGAAAGTACGTTGTCCAATTTGTTTTGGCTTTGGACAAAACCAAACATCTGTGGAGCAAACAGGTGGGAACATACAATTTATTTCATCCAGTTTGTTGTAAACGCTACTTTACTGTTCATTGCTGTAGAATACTCATTTGTGTTTCTGTCTTAGATTGAACTAAACGTTGTTCCCAATAAAGCAATGAAATTAGCCCCTGAGACTCCACCTTCAACTCCTGTTGTCTCTAATAGTAACATTCGGGCCAATCGCACACTGGTGGACAGCTTGAATCTAAAGATCATGGTGAGTTTCTGTCTTTTCTAGAGCTAGTGTTTGTATGTTAACAGACGATGTTGAACTTCATGTGATGCCTAACAACACCTTTTCACCCTTGTTCCTTATTGCTTTCAAATCAAATGCAAATCTGAAAATAGTGACCTCTTAATGTGTTATGTTTTTTGTTTTTGTTATTTTTACTTTATTACTCATTTATTCTGAGCATTCATGCAATGCATCTCTGCAATGCATTTTTTCTGTATTCTCAAATAATAAAACATTTAACCAAATTAATTAGGGATGTCCCGAGCTGATCTCAAGGATCAATGTTTTAAACTTGCCACCAAGGTGGTTCCTCGAGAACTCCGTGTTCATTACTTTACGATCTGTCTAAAATGTTATTAGATAAAACTGTTATACATAAAAAGTAGATAGTATATGGAAAGTTATTAGTGTATGCTGTGTGGTTGATGTCCAGCATTGCTATCTGAGCAGAAATACATAATCATGTTTAGCTTGGTCCCTTCAAAGTTGCATTGGATTTTCTCGTCAGCATGAAGGCTAAAAGGCACATCTATCACTATTTTCCATGTTCGTAGTGTTAGTTTCTGCAGTAAATATATAGGCTATAATGGGTTTCAGCCAATCAGTGTACGCTTAATTGGTAGTTGTAGTTCCTATAGTGCTGGGTTAGACTCTACTCTGAAGTAGGAGCTAAATTAGTTCCTCCAAAAGGAATTCCTAGAGCTAAAATTGTTCCTAGTTCCTGCGGTGCGAACATGTCAAGTCGTGTGCGAAAGCCCCTATTTTCATATGACCACAATTTCATAAGATGATTTAAATAGCTCTGTTTGTAAAGAATTAATCATTTTGATGGTTGGGGTAATTTTGAGTGCATCTGTAAAGAAAATAATAAACAAATTACAAGCATAGATAATAATAATAATACACTGAGCAATCATCGGTGCTTGGGCCCTATTTAATACAATAGAACAAAATATACAAATGAAATATGCAGTGCTTTATATTTTTCAGGTAAATCTAACACTATTCGGGTACATAATTTTAATAAGACATGTAAAATAACATACCGGTAACATAGTCTTCACTGTATACTGTATTAATTAATACAATTTATCTTTGTTAACGCTACAAAAGTCATTTTCTCTTTTGTTTTGTGATTAACATTGGTGACTCAAACAGTTGCGGGTATATTAGGTTGCTGAATGCATGGATCCAATATAATCCGTCTTCTTTCTCATACTGTGTTTATGAGGACACAGACTGTGATTGAGGATTCTCGCCGAGATGGGACTTTTGATTTAATTTTGCATGCAAATGAAGAAAGTAATTCGGTGTTCATGTGCTGTGTGTGCGTACATAAAACATCTTGTGAGTTCTTGAGACTTAAAGCAGCACTATGCAGTTTTTTATTTTAACTGAATACTTTCGGAGTTATTGCAATGGTTATATGACTATTTTCGGGTTGAATGTTGGGCGTCTCGTACTAGTACTCCACAGCGACTCTAGGGGTCACAGTTTGACAAAAACGGAAATCCTGCATAGTGTGGTTTTAAAAACGCATGCAAATGATAAACTGTAGTGCTACGTTCACACCGGACGCGAATCGCGCGTCAAATTCGCGCCTGACGCGTCTAGTTTGACGCTTGACCACTAGTGTTAATTCGCGTGTCAAGAGCGAAACTGGCGCGCGTAAAGTTTGAAGCGAAATTTACGCGCGTGACGCGCGTCAGAATCAAAATCCGTTGGCGGTCATTGTTTTTATGTCGACCGAGCATTCATCAAGAGAGTTACCGCTCTGTATTTACTCTGGATAGCAGAACAGCGGCGTGGGGATCATCGTCGCCGTATATTTGTGTCCACCGGACCCTTCGGAGCCGAACCGTTTGGCGAGTTTCACCATTCGCTCGCTCCAGGAGCTGCGCTGGATGACGGCCGCTGTCAGCGGTACTTGCGCCTGTCACGCGCCCAGTTTGATGACCTGTTGTCCCGCATCTGAGCGAGGATCACCCTCGCCCGGCCCCTCATCCATCTAATCTAGCTGTCATTTATTTTTGTTTTGATAATAAATAGAGCCAGCCTTCAAAAGTTATTAACCTGTCCTGTGATTTTTTTTTTTCTCTCTCTCACGTCCAGACACGAATTTATGCACATATGTTGATTGTCTTTACAACATAATACTATTTCTAGATATGGAATGAATAACATTCAATACAAAATGAACATGTCTCCATATAGAAATAATGTTTTAAGTGATGAAACATTTGCTTTGTTGTGCATAATCCCACCATGCATTTAGTCATATTAACAAAATAATTTATTGAAGCATCCAGACACTTCACCACGTGAGCAAGCAGCTAGGCTCCTGATTGGTTAACGCGGCGCGAATTCACGCCAAAGTTCAGATTTTTCAACTCGGGCGGCAGACGCGAATTCGCGTCAAACGCGTGAATGCACAACGCTCAATTCGCGCCAACTTGACGCGCGAATGAGGCGTATTCGCGTCTTCCGCGCCGCGCTCCACGCCTCATTCGCGTCGCAGGAATTTTTCACGCGCGTAAAGCGTCTTTGCATTGACTTAACATTGAAATCATTCGCGCCTGACGCCCTATTCGCGTCCGGTGTGAACGTAGCATTACTCTATGATGATTACACTTTGCAATTAATCTGCAAATCACATGCCTTCTGGGGGGCTGCTGGCCCGTATGGATCAACTACGATCCCTATACTTGACATCTCACATCCTGCAATGTGATTATCGCGTACATCGCAATATTGATGCTAAAACTATATATCGTGCAGCCCTAATTTTATTTTCGCTTTACTTTTATACTCGACTAACTGGGAATTTTGACATCATTTTGTATGTTTTTGTTTTTGAAAACTCAATGTGGCGCTGCCGTGTTATCTGATGCATCTGATGCCTGTGCTTACTTTTCGGGTGTTTGTTCACAGAGAGACAGACAGTTTGTTTCACAGAGAGACAAGGGCACAAAAACCTTGATCGGGACATTCCTAAAATGTGCAACAGGCCTACAATTGTGTGTTTTCTTCTTACTTTGCAGGACCAATATGATAATGCTGCTGGTGAAGGTATAGATGGAAAAGTGGTGGTTGCAGTTAAAGGCACTGGAGACATGGTGGTTCCTTTGTTTGAGAATGGAGAAAATAGTTTGTCATACAGCCTTACTAATGGGGAGGCTCTCATTACTGTGAGTGTTTAATTTATATACTGTATTGAATTAGCTTTTTTATTTTATTTTTTACAGTTTTTGTTTTTTAGTTAATTTCCAGGGCAGGATTTCAAATCTTTGTTTCAATTTTTTTTATCCAAAATATATTATTTTTCATTTTATTTCAGCTTTATTTTAATTAACTAAAACATTTGAAGGTGTGTATATATATATATATATATATATATATATATACTAAAACACTTTCAAATGTTTTAGTTAATTAAAAAAAGTGTTTAATTAACTTAACTTAGTTAATTAGTGTTATATATATGGTTAAGTTTGGTTCAAAACATTTCTAAATACCGAATTTATTTTTGTGATTCTATTGTAACGTTTAATTTTGAAGTCCAGCAGGACAAATAAAGTCTTTTAATTTTATTTTGCATGTTATAGCTCACATCCTGTTCACTGGTCATTGTTGTTAAATGGGTGCTATTGTTTGTGTCCTGTAGGATTTGGTTCTTTTGGAGAACAGTCCTGGTAGTGATGGAGCTGAGTATATTCTCCAGTTCCATCCTGAGTTTCAGCTGACTAGTGTTACCATCACTCCATACAGCCTGCCTTTCAGATTCTGCAATGGTTAGTTAGCAGACAGAGAGCCCATTATTCGTACATCACTAATGAGTGTGACAGTTAATATAATTGTAATATTCCTGTGTATTATGAAAAGAGGTGTACAAATAAATTGGACTTGACTTGAATTTCATACCAATGAGATTTTCCTGTGTGTGGTGCTACCTATTATGATGTGAAGTCTTGTTGGAATTAGGAGTGATTGGATTTACGATTTGAACACCTATTAATGACACTTCAAAGTTATAATTTTGGGAAACTACAACTGTTAAATTCTTACTACAAAATATATTTTGATCTATTCCAGATTCAGAACATCAGGAAGTCATTTCAAATCTCAGTAAGAAGAAAGATCGTCTTTCCAAGACTGTTTTGATGTACCGGGAAATCTTTGAGACCAATGAACAACTGAAATCTGAACTTGAGTGTAGGCACTTCATTCATTCATTTATGCTTTTATTTGATTCATTTATTCATTTATGTTTATTAGGGGTGTAACGGTACACAAAAATCACGGTTCGGTACGTACCTCGGTTTTAACGTCACGGTTCGGTACGTTTTCGATACAGCAAAGAGAAAGAAATGCCACAGAAATGTCCTATTTGTTTAAAGAAAAATATTTTTAAATAAGTGTGAGTTTTCCTAGATCTTGAAACTTTCAGGTTTATAAATGGGAGTCATCTTTGAAGGATGAACAAATAATGTTTTGGTGTTCACATTAAAAATAACATTTAAAATATATATTCATTTATATAATACAGTATTTGAATTTTGAAGTGCTGGAAAAAGATGTGTGATGTACTTGAAAGCATTTCTCCATTCCAGCCAAACTGGTTCCAGTTAGTGTTACTATATTAAATCCATGGTGAATGTTGCAGGTCTGTGGACGAGAACTAGTATTACTAGTTCATTCACGGCACAATGTTTCTCCTGGTTTCCACGTCAGCGCTGTTTGATCTAATAGAGATCTACGGTTAATAACAGAGAAATGTGAATGCATCTCACTAGATCTCGCAGCGATGTTATTACCTCAGTGGCGAATTCAAATGTGTTCTTTACCGGATCTCTTAGCGCAATGTGGTAACAGTGTTGCTTGATCGAGATCGGCTCGCGCTGCACAGATGTTGCTGGTCCAAACTGATAAACGATCCGTGAAGCACATAACAAGTAGCACAGTTTCGTTCTGCTTTCATTACGCTTGCCATTTGATGTTGCGCAACGTTGTGTTGGCCGCGCCAGCACGAATTTTGCCGGCAGGAAAAATGGTCCAAGCAATCGTTCGGTTTGTATGCGTACCGAACCGGAAGCCTCGAACCGAAACGGTTCAATACGAATACATGTACCGTTACACCCCTAATGTTTATATGTTTTTATGTATTAATGCATTTGTTTATTCATTTATGCTTTACTTAATTTTATTCATCAAGATCATGTATGTATGACTATTATATATATATTGACTATATATATATTTACAGGTCTGGTGCGAGATGCATCCCACAAAATAAATGAGCTTAAACCAGAGCTCATGAACAGTGGCTTAGACATATCAAAACTAACCTCGGTGAGTCTGAACATGCACACACATGAACACTAACATAAACACTGTTTCATTGTTGTTTGGTCTGAGAAGCTTGCAATTTGTTCCAATCATCATAGATGCGTGTTTGTCTTTTTGTTTACGTATCTGTCTAGGTATCAGAAATAAAGGATTTAATAAATGCCAACAAAGCAATTTTGGTCAAGATGGAGAATCAACCTAGACGGAAATGTAGCATTCTTGACCCTTTCAAAGGCAGTCCGCACGTTCTGGGAAAGGTGTGTGTTTGATTATTGTATCATGTGATCACATCACAAGTGCAGATCTAAGAGTCAGCAGGATGAAATGAGTATTGGAAAAGTTTCATGCTTATTGAAACAGCAACACTGGCCTGTTAAAATATCTTATGCATAATTATAACAAAAAAAAATTAAATTATGACATACTAAATCGTCACTACATCACTGACATAAAAAGTTGAAATAAGATCTATTAAGTCATAATTATGACAAAACGTCAAACTATATGTGGTGGAGCTTCAAAACTTGTGTGTTTCAATTACACATTTTTCTCAAGCTCTTTATTCCGTTTTCCGTTCTCTTAGTTACTGGCAATTATTCACACAATTTATTTATGCAGTTCTCCCTGAAATGAGGGTTTTTATCTTATTTTCACCTTAAATAAAATGCTACCATTTCTTTTATTCATTTTTTTTTATATATAGTTTTACAGTATTAAAACCGTGGTACAGGTGCCTCATTTCGGCAAATACAATCATCCGTCAACTGGTTGTTCAAGGATCGAGTGTAGGGTAATAGCACAAAAAAAGAGTCTAGAAATAAGACATTTAACATACATTTTCAAGAAAATACGCTAGAAACCATTAGACCTCCTGCATAAGTTTGATTCAACCACATATTAACAGAAGGGACATGGGTCGTGGAACACAACAGAAGTATACATTTTCTCGCTAAGTAGGTCCTCTGAACGATCTTATGTATTTCTTTCCTGTACACCTTGATCATGTCACAGCTCCAGAACATATGCATCACAGTACCAATATTAGATTTACATTTATTAGAGAAACGTAGGTGGGAAAAAATCTTACGGAGACGAACCAGTGTTAAAGTCCTGTAACTCGACATTGAAATTGCTACCATTTCTAAGTATATATGAAGATACATATTCATGAAGATACATTAAACACCTTAATTTATACCTTGATAGCACGCAAATATTTCTGCCCATTTTTCTCTTATGATTGTCAGCCTCTGCTTTTCCACTGCAGAATGAAGCCGTTGTGAGTGTAAAACACGTTGAGACGTTACTTTTATCTAATGAAAGAAAAATACTTCAATTTTCTTATGTTAGTTTTTAGTGATGTTTTGACTCGTTGGTGCATTTTACCGCCCTTCATCAACACACAGCCCACCCCAGATTTTAAAAAAAATCACAAAATCACATGTGATGATGTCCATGTAATGGTTTGTAGGTAGGTCATCTGGCACAGGTTGAGGATGATGATGCAGCGAAGGTGATCTCTTGGCATATCCTTGGCGACATGGACTGTGTGGTTACTGAAACAACATCTGCTGCCAAGAAAATCTATGATGATACACAAGGACGACAACAAGTCTTACCCCTCGAGACCGTCTTCTGGAGACCAAATGACAGGTACACATGCATATTGCATACATTCTCAAAAATCCAAATATTTCCAGGTACTTAGTGTTTTTTTATTAGGGCTGAGAAGGAGTTTTAGTGCACAGACAAAAGTAATGATTATGAATGTGTTGGAAAGCGCTATGGAGCTGAAAAGAGTAGACTCCGCAAAATAACCAATTTTTTTTTTTTTTTCAGTTAATACTAGCTATTTTTTTTTTAGATAAAAATGAATGTGTTTTTCCAGGAGACTGAATGAATATCTTAACAATTTATTAATAAACTTGTGTTTTCTGAGTAAATGTCGACTGCAAAGATCGTTCGTCTCCACAGTATAGTGGAAGTGGCTTTACAAAGGAAGGCTCATTAAATTAGGAATTCAGTAAGAGCGTCTAGCTTCCACACTCCACTTGAACACTCGGATATGCCCCTAATAATAGCACACATTTATCTAGGTTAAAGTTAACGTTTAAGCGAACGGCCAAGTAGAGTGGATAATGTTAGGCTACTACTTGCATGCTTCAAATGATATGCCATATTTGAGGTTGACGAATAATAGGTGAACAGTTGGATTTCTGCCCGAGATAATTACCAAATGCTGATCTGAAATTTAAGCAACCAATGCTAGGTCTGGATTAACAATATCAATTTGCTTTGTTTATGCTTTTTTTTTTTTTTTTCATGTGTCTTAGGCCATTGCCTCACATCAGGAATGGCTCGTCTCTCTTCCGTCCACTTGGAAATCCTGTGTTTGTCAAAGATTTGCTCATTTATCCTGAGCATGTAGAAGGCTGCAATAAAGGCAAGTCATTCACACTCACTGACAGCATACAACACAATGGTAGATTTAGAGTCAAAAATGAACTTTCCGTTCCTGCCAGATTCAGACATAAAATGGCAGATTATATGCGGCTGTTGATATATGAATGAATAAAAAATAGTCAAGTACCTTGTGATCTTACAATGTAAAAAAAAAAAAACGAAAATTAATAAATACGCCAATAAAAACTGCAAAATGGCTATTTTTCACACTGAAAGCACTGAAAATCAACTGATTTTCTCAATCTCATGTTCTTCTTGTACAAAAATGCGCTGCTCATCCATTTAATGGCAGTGAATGGTGAAAAATAGAATGCCATAAAATAATGCCATGCAACTTATGCTGTATATAGCAGATGTTTTGATGCACACTATAGGGTTTGTTCAGAAACACACCGTAAAGGGTTATTTAGCAAAAATCTTGACCTTAGCCTCTACTCTCTTGTGTACATTCATGGAGAGTTCATGATTGCCGCAGTGTGCAGAAGAGAGCATTGAGAGAACAAAAGTGCACATGAAAAAATAAGATTAATAAACACACAACACGAGGCCTATAAGTTCTCTAGAAAGTATTTGTGTACTTATTATCTCTGTTGTTCCACGGTTGATAGTTGACAGCCAGAACTAGTTATTAAAGCAATAGTTCACTTTTAAAAAACCTTTTGCTGATAATTTACTCACCCCCATGTCATCCAAGATGTCCACGTCTTTCTTTCTTCAGTCGGAAAAAAATTAAGGTTTTTGATGAGATTTTCTCCGTATAATGGACTTCATTGGGAACCAAACGGTTCAAGGTCCAAATGAGAGTTTCAGTGCAGCTTCAAAGGGCTTTAAACGACACCAGACGATGAATAAGGGTCTTATCTAGGACCCTTCGAGTCGTGACTCGTTCATTTTGATGAACGAGTTCGAACAGGTGAGTCATGAACGCTCATCACAGAACAGAGCAAGGTGAGCATTTGTGTTTATAAAACTTAATCTTTTTTATTTTATTTTTGAAATGACCGATCGTTTCGCTAGATAAGACCCGTATTCATCGTCTGGTGTCGTTTAAAGCCCTTTGAAGCTGCACTGAAACTCTCATTTGGACCTTGAACCGTTTGGTTCCCATTGAAGTCCATTATATGGAGAAAATCCTGGAATGTTTTCTAGTTTCTTTTCGACTGGAGAAAGAAAGACATGGACATCTTGGATGACATGGGGGTGAGTAAATTATCAACAAAAGTTTTTTTTTTTTAAAGTGAACTACTCCTTTAATAGTTGTTGTAGGCTTTTGAACTCAATATATTGTTCTTGATTTACTTCAGTTAATAAGTAAAATGATTTAATTCACAACTAATGTAACCATTTAAAGTATGGCAACTGTCATACCCTGACACCCCTGCTGCACTTCCAAAACAAATCTGTTTCATTTACTAACCAAAGCCAATTTTCACAGTCATTTAGTTCTCACTGGGTATTAATCATGGATCCTGATGAAAAATAGCATGATGAATTCTCACTACAGGGATGGAAAACAGATTTTCCAGCAAATAACCCATGATTAACAAATTAATAGATTAATTCACATTTGAGGGAAAATAATCGGAGCATGAATGACCTGTTTGAATGGGTATTTGGAGTTTGAGAGCATGAATGGGTTTGAGTGTAAACATACTCAAAAACCTCCCTCTCTCCCAGCATGCATTCTATTTTGTGTCTTAACTTAGTTTGTATAGACCATTTCACAAGATGTAAACAACACTGGTCCAGAAACACTTCCTGTTTCAGTTTGTAACTGTTTTCTTTATTTCACATGTAAAGAAAACATCTTAAAGATGTTTGTTTAACTTTTTGATTCAGTTTTAAATGTTCTGTTGGTTGTATTTTATCCCAGCTTTTATGTAGTGTTAAAAACTGAAACAGGGAGTGCTTCTGGACCAGTGTTGTTTACATCTTGTGAAATGGTCTATAGTTTTGTATGCATGAACATTGCACTTTCAATTTTAAATCTTTCCAGAATACTGCCATATTAATGTGTCATGGAATGATGTAATGGAATTTTCTTATTTTCTTCACTGCTAAGTGTCTTGGCATAAAGGCTATATTGGCAGTATCAAATGATCTAATGGTGTGTGCATGTGTGTATTATGGATTAAACAATCATATTTGCCTAAAATATTTGGCAGCCTGTAGATGTTGGCATGTATTGTAAGCATGATCAGGGCAAACATAATCAAATAGTGAAGCTATTGATGTGTTCTGACTCTTTTCAGTTTTTGCAACCCTTCTTGGAGAAACCATATTAATTGATGATTTGGATTCTGCTAATCACTATCGTCGGGGGGTAAGACACTGAGTGAATGTGTTGGTGTTGAAGAATCTTCAAATATTTACCTCAGCGTGTATAAACGTGAATATTTGGTAGGTGGTTCAAAATAAGATGCAGTGCCCCACACTCCTAACGCGCCAAGGGGAGCGGATACGCAGCAACGGGAAGTTTGGTGGTTTGCAGAACAAGGCTCCACCCATCGAGAAACTTCGAGGGCAAGTCTTTGGGGCACCATTACCCAAAGAGTACAAACATACATGCCTTCAGATAGGTAACTAACATACTTTCTCTCTTGGTGCAGTGGAAGAAATTAGACAATTTTTTTACTGTACTTAGTGTTTCTCTCCCATATTAAACGCAACAGTTCACCAAAATAAAAGTTTTTTTATATAGCTTCAGTATAATTTTTGGAATGCATTTATGGTACTTAAGGCAAGACAAAACTGTTTTTTCATTAACTGGTCAGTATAGAGATGTGGGGCTATTTTGCTTTCATAATGCACCTTATTTCAGACTAGTGAAAAGAAACACTTCCAAAATGCCTATTTAAAGGAATAGTTCACTTAAAAGTTAAAATTCTGTCATCATTTACTCACCCTCAAGTTGTTTCAAACCTGTATGAGTTTCTTTCTTCTGCTGAACACAAAGGAAGATATTTTGAAGAATGTCTGTAATGTCTGTAGTGTTTCCTACTATGGAAGTCAATGGGGTACATCAACTTTCTGGTTACTGACGTTCTTCAAAATATCTTCCTTTGTGTTCAGCAGAAGAAAGAAACTCATACAGGTTTGAAACAACTTGAGGTTGAGTAAATTATGACATAATTTTAATTTATAAGTAAACTCTTCCTTTGTGTTTAATTTCTTACATTTTATTCTACAGTATTTCTGACTGATTTCAATTACAATACATATCTTTAAAGGCTTTTTTCCTCAATATTAGATTTTTTTTCTGCACTGAACCAGAAATCCACTTCAGTAGCACTTACATGCGCTAAAATTTCCATAATTGATAAAGTAAGAACATTTATCTCTGAAATATCAAGAAAATGAAAATAATAATTCAATGATCAGATTTCAGTTCTGATTATTTATATATATATATATATATAATTGGTTCATATTTAATTAGATAATGCATACTTTGCACATTTAATAACATTACATAACATTTCAGAAAATCATAATACCCTATTCACCTGAATTGTCTATGAAAAATGCTTATGTGATGAGTCAACTCATATAAATGGATGAAAACTGTATTTAATCTCTCTATTATATTTGAATGTTCACTTACAGAATTATTACAGCAGTACAGTGGTGCAATGCAGAAGGCCTCTGATGTCGAATTTGAATATAAAAATCATTTCCAGTACCTGCAGAGTCCTCAGATGAAACAGAAGCGACAAGAGCTCAAGCAGCAAGAGGAAGAGTTAAAAGAACTTGAGCAAACCCTTGGTATGTGTTTTTACCATTGTAGATTTGTATTTCATGCAATACTGTATAATTTCACCATTGACAGTTTACATGAAGAAACCACAGCCTTAGTATAACAGTCTATTATTATATGATATCACTTAATTCAGGTTTAAGTAGAAGTTTGACTCTGCTAACCTGGGGTTAGGTTCATCTTTAAAAAGATGTTGTTCACGTGTATTTTAGCATAAGGCTGCAACATATCAAAATGTGGACAAAATGAAGGGGTCTGAATACTTTCTGAAAGCAATGTATTTGCGAGTGTGTGAACTTTCAGCTTATTTTAATGCTTTTTGTGCTTTAGGAATAGCAATACAAATTCTTTAAAAATAGGAATGATTCCTTAACCCTTTATTTACTCTATAATTTCTATAATTGGTGAATTCTGACAAACGTTGACTGAAATGTGTGTTTGCAGCCAGAACTCCTGAAAAAAGAATGAAACGAAGCCTCGAGCCTGAAACTTCTGAGCCCTCAGTCCCTCCTAAACGGATCCGTCGCAAACCTTGCAAGCTGGGTAAATTAGTGGTCATCTGAAGTGTTTGCTCTATAACTCCTGTTTCACACATGATGTGTTTGCAGTACTATGTGGTGCAGAAGCTGCATGCTCATTGTGCTTTTACATAAGATGCGTTTGCAGTGTGCAGTTGATCCACGGCTTCTGTATGCTTTTTTCCTTGTGAAATACAATACACTATTTATTACCTAAGAAACAAGGCGACATGAATGACACTTAAGTCTGAATGTGGAAGTGAGGGGAAAAAAATCTTTATGACCTGCTGTATTTCTTTTACAAAATTTCCCAAGAAAAAAAGCATGGGAGGCAGTTTGCCTGGTTGGTAAGTTTTTATTTAAAAAAGTTCGTGATACTGCATTTTTACGTAAGAGAAGTACCATGTTTGAATGTTTTGCCACTTGCCACTTATAGGATTAGTTCACTTTTGAAAAAACTTTTGCTGATAATTTACTCACCCCCATGTCATCCAAGATGTCCATGTCTTTCTTTCCTCAGTCGAAAAGAAATTAAGGTTTTTGATGAAAACATTCTAGGATTTTTCTCCGTATAATGGACTTACATGGGAACGAGATGGTCCAAGGTCCAAAAGACAGTTAGTAACAGTTTCAGATGCAGCTTCAAATGTCTTTAAACAACACCAGACGATGAATAAGGGTCTTATCATGCGAAACTATCGGTTATTTCAAAACTTATTCCAAAAATGTAACTTTTCTAAGGACAAATGCTAGCCTTGCTCTATTCTGTGAGGCGCGTTTGTAATGTCACGTAATACGTAATTACGTTCAAAAGGTCACGGGCGACGTAGCCGGAAGTACCAAATGCCAAATATCTAAAAATCCTTCAAAGTCCTGATGTGAGAAAGCACGGATTGGCAGGTTAACAGGCTAGCAAGATATCAGCGTGTGTTGTGTTAGCGATAATGATTTAATTAAAAGCTATGTCAGATTAATGTGATGGGCAATAATAGACACTATTTAATAGATGTTGATGAGTAAGTTAAATTTAGCAAATAAAAACAACAAGGAATGATATTGAATAGAGATTACAGACATAAACCAGCAGCAAAGCAGACAAGAGCAATCAATCAAGGCAGATAGCAATAGGGGTAACGCTTCCTTTTACAGTACAGTACTTACAGTGTACTTACCTAGAAAGTACTGGCTAATACAGGGGTTGGACAATGAAACTGAAACACTGGCCAATGTTGGAGGTTTCACATCTATATGCCTGGCGGCCAATCTTCAGAGTGAAGCACGGGTGGATCAGTGATGGTTTGAGCTCCAATATCATGACAATCCTGATTGTATTTGATGGACACGACACTGCCGAGGACTACGAAACCCTTCTGGAGGATCTTGAGCACCTGATGCTCAAACCGTGTATCAGCATGATCATGCACCAACACACACAGCAAGACTTGTGACAGAAGGGTTTGATGAAGATGAAAGTGACGTTGAACATCTCCCATGGTCTGACAGTCACCAGATCTGAATATTATTGAGGTGTTTTGGAGGAGCGAGTCCACCTGCATCATATAGTGACCTGGACACTGTTCTGGAAGAGGAACGGCTCATAATCCCTCTGGTCACTGTGAAGGACTTCTATCTGTCAATTGGTGCTGTATTTGGATGCAAAATGAGGCCCTCACCATTCTAACAAATTATTGTGTAGTAAAACCAGGTGTTTCAGTTTTTTTGTCCAACCCCTGTATAAGGTAAGTACATGGAACAGGGGTAGGTTTAGGGGTAGGTTCAGGGTTAGAACTAGTTATTACCCAGTAATTGTGGTTACTAAAATAAGTACATACTGTAGTATTTACATGGTTAACTGGACTGTAAAAGAAAGCGTTACCGCAATAGGGACAGGTTTATGGGGTACCAATGGCGCTTATGCATGTCATTCCAGTCTCTATACAACCAGTGCAAGAGCTGTATCAGCATTCTTGGTAGAAAGTCTCAAAGAAGCTGAATGTAGGCTATACTGCAGTTGCATGACTTCACCACCATCACCACCACCATTAAAGTCCCTGTAAAGGCAATTCTACAAAAAAGTTCTAAACGCATTATAAATGTTACATATGTATTGCTAAAACATATTACAAAGACTGTGAACTGTGAAGTACTGAAATGTGGAGTTAGACCGTTCAACAGTTTTTCACCATTGCAATTTTACGGATTGTTTGGGCGGGGCTAAAACAGGGCTCAATGACGCACTGGAGCCCATGAGCTCCTGGACACACCCCTATTTGATGACGCATAGAGTCTGATTTCTCCCCTAACACACAATAACACTCCCCGAGCACATTCGCATTCACCGCTCAATCGCGAGTGACTGTCAGTACTATTAGTTACTACAGCTGAGCCTACAGTTTTCTAGCTAGCTATGCCTTCGACACGGACATGCATAGGCTACCTGGATGCGATCATGTACAAAACAGATCGGTATCTTCATTTAAATTCCCTAAAAACGATCACATCAAGAAGAGGTTTTTAGAGAGCAAACCTTGATGAAGAGCTGAGGATCACCGACAGCAACACCCGCCTCTGTAGTGATCATTTTACACTGGATCGTTTTATAAACTTTCCTCAGAGACAACTGGGATTCACTGATAATCCACTGTTACTGGTGAACGGGGCCGAAACAACTATCTCCCGCCTCGGCGTTCATCCTCCTGTCGCGAAAGCAGCGACAGCATTCCCGCTAGTGGGCGTGGTTTCAGCGCAGCCAGCGGACACGCCCCCAGCATTTGAGAACAGAGATAACTGCTCATTTTTTCAAGATTTTGATAGCTTATTTTATGTACTTGCTGGCATTTTTTTATCATTCAAATTTGGCTGGGTGGCTAATAACAAATTTTTCTGTGGTGTGACGAACTCAGAACACATACTTAATTTTGACTTTACAGGGACTTCTGACAACTCTCAGTATTTAAAAAAACATTTTCCCTGGAAGCATGAGTTAGAATTATATAAAGAGCTCCGCAATTTTCTCAAAAAAGCTAAGCTATTTACAATTTCCAAAAAGTCCTGTAGATTAAAGATTGTTTTATGGTAGTTGGTAGGAAGTAGTATAGTAGTTTGGTAGTTAGTCTTAGACCATGTGGTCTTGCCTGGACACAGGGGAGCTGAAAATGTGCAAAGTATCTTTCGCACATCATACAGTAGGCTTCTTTGCATCCCCTAAACTAAAATTTCTCACATGTGGTAGGACTCTTCCTCTTTCTTTCTTCTATCTCATCCAGCCACTTTTGGTTCTCATAAGGATTGAGGATGTAGTTGTGCTTATAGGATACAGTGACCACAGAGACAGCTTTCAGTGCTCAACAGCACTCTCAATCTGGATGGTTGAATACCAAAGGTCCACCAGATAACCAATCTTTGCCCAAGACGGTCTATGATCAAAAATGTAATAAACCAGTGGATATGAGAATGACTCAGGGGGATGTGGAACCAGAATTTTGCCATTTACGTTGACCATACAGTCCCCTTACTGTTGTACAGAAGCATGCAACACTAACACCAGAAGGTCAAATATTTTCTATGACCCACACCACCTCTGAGCACCTCCTTTCTTCCATTATCTGCTCGAATAGCAGATACCCCCATCAAACATCCCAGAGCACCAGCACTAATGTCTAAAGGTTGACAGAGACCGAAAAGGAGAAGAGTTATATCACCAAGTGCAGCAGACAAACCGCTATAACCCACGCCACAACCACATGTACCGTGACAGGACGATGGGATTTACTATTTTGCCCTCAGTTTAGTGCCTAAAGTTAACAGGCTTAGGAACCAGAACCGAGCACACATTTATATCTTCAGCTACCTTTCAGATCCGGAGGTAGCGGATGCAAATCAGCGACATCAAGACGCACGTTTACAGCCCCCATAAACAGCAGGATTTCTGGCATTCCACCCCATCTCCTCCTCCCATGTAGTCAAGAGCCATCGTCCTCCCCATCTAACACCTCTAACTACATCTTACCATCAGCATGGATCAGAACAGGATTCCTCTCCTGTGCACTGCTAATTACTATTGTTTTAACACTAAATTCTAATTATTTATTGTTAATTCATTTGATTTTTTTTTCTTTTGTTGAAAATAGGTTAGTAGTTTAAAGTTATTCTTTGGCTCTAAAGTTTTTCTTTTATCTTAATGTCACCTACATCTTCTATTTAGTCGCACTTTCTTTTTGTCTTTTAGGTATTTTTAAGTACTATTATGTCACTAAAAATGGGTTAAAAAACATTCACACTGCTGTATGTGCTCCATGCTTTCCTCTCAAAAAATAAAAAATAAAACGCCACAAAAATGTCAACGGTGAGAAAATGGCTGTTAAGAAAGCATCTGATCATAGTGATGTGGATAACAAGTCATGTCACATTTCTTTATATAGCACTTTAGACAGTGGATTGTTTAAAGCAAGCAGCTTTACAGTGTTAAACAGGAACATTATCACTTTCAATAAGAACTTCATTTTCTACAACGATCCAGCTCTCCAGTGTGTTCATGTTTTTACTTGTCCAAACTTGACCTTGACTGAACAGAAGATATAAACCAGAGATTTCCAAGTCAAAGAAGGCGGAGCTTCAGAGCCACACCTACCTATACGTTATCACCATTGACAAATTGTAGTTTGCTTTCCGCAAAGTTTGCTTTGTCAAGCTGTTTCTCACTCTATCCAAATTTAATTTTGTCCCAATAGAAATTGTCACAACAGTTCTTCGATTGTACTTGTAATTACGTTGGCATGTATTTGATTATAAGTATATATTGTTTACTTTTTTTGTGGCATAAAGCAATTTTTTTGTTGCAGTTCTTTTTATTGATTCAGAAGCCGCAGATTAGTGACCCACTGCAAACGCATCTTGTGTGAAAGCACAATGGCTGTTTCCGTAGGCATATGTACTGCAAACGAATTATGTGAAATGGGCGTAATAGTTGTTTCTGTCTTGTCTGTTGCTTTTTTACCGAAGTTAATCGCTTGTTGTTTTCGCCCCCAGCAGATTCATGATGCACCGAGCTGACAGTTGAAGCAATGCTGTAGTTTCTTCAGAGTATCAAAGATTGTTTTGTCTTTGTAAATCCTGCTCTTTTTTTTTACTTTAAACTCTTTACACGTTGTTTTAAATTCCAGGATTTAAGAAGAAAGCAAAAAAAGAAAAGTTAATATATTTTGTATCGTTCTTTGGGGAAAAAAAAAACAAGTTTTTTCAGTAACATCGGGTCCTGTCATCCTTTTTTTATTCAACAAACCTTCCAGCAATCACACTTTTACTAATGCCATCTTTTTCCTTTGACTTTAAAGCCCAATGTATAATTTGGTTTTTACACACACATGCATGAATACAGTGTACACTAGCATTTCAATGCATGTTCTGTTTAATGTCTACAGAGCGTTGCAGTGATGATAGTTTCTTATAGGCCAACCCGGAAGTTAGCATTATGGTGGTTCCCTTGATAAAAAAAAGCGCAATATAATTTTTTATTGGCTCATCAATAATCAACAAAAGTTTGATTCTCAAAAAAGCTAAATGTAGCCTAAACAGCTAACGACCCAGAACCAGATATGATGAATGAAGAGAAGATAAAAAGATTTACTTAAGATAGTTTCTACTTTCATCAGCAGAATTCAGGAATTTGTAGGCCGCCCTGCTTACAGTTAAAAAGATCACAGCAATTATACCCTTCACCCAGGTCTAAGCTACGGCTCAGGTATTGGCTCAGAACACATATACAGTAGGCTGAAGCATATCTCCATGGATTATGCAGCAGACTCTCAGACCCTAAAGTTAGGTTCAGTGAGTGGCTGAGCAACACTATCTCACGACCAATTCGTACGAATTCGACGCATGATTAAAAAGTGGCTAATTCGTACGACCTCACTCGTACTAATTCGTACGATTAGTCTAAAACCACGTGATGGTTAGGTTTAGGGGCGGGGTAAGGGGTAGGTCATTCGTACGAATTCATACAAATTGTCCAATTCGTAAAATATGTACGATTTAGCAAAATCGTATTAATTCGTACGAATGAGGTCGTATGAATTGTTACGAATTAGCCACTTTTTAATCATTCGTCGAATTCGTACGACTTGGTCGTGAGATCGGGTTGGGCTGAGAGGAGTTTCATGGACTTATCACTTATCTGCTTCTTTTTTGTTTTATATTTAAAGTTTGACTAATTTAGTTTGACCATTTCAATTTCCCTTTTTTTCTTGTGCTTATTACTTAGAGTTTTCATCCTGTTCCCGAACTCTCTCAGTCAATTCATATTTTTTTAACATACAAAATTGTGTCATTCACTATAGCCACTTGTTTTATTGTCTGAAAAAAATAATATATGACATGAAAACAGCTTTATTGGACATACTGTATATATTATTAGGCTATAATACATTATATTAAAAATACACTACGTGAGCATGAATTTAGAGAGAAAACACATTTTGTTAAAAACAAAAATGCCACTACATTCCACATCTGAACACCACCAAAGTCTTCAACCAGCAGAAATTTGGCAGACTTGGTAGAAAACTGTTGTTTTATGGAAGACTGGTATTTCATACAATGTATCAGTGCCATGACCAAACTTGCAAAAATCATGATCAACTAGAGCAGGGCTGTCCAAACTCGGTCATAGAGGGCCACTGTCCTGCAGAGTTTAGCTCCACCCAAATTAAACACACATCAAGGTCTTGATTAACTGAAGGTCATTAGACATGCTAAAAACTTAGAAGCAGGTTTAATGAGGCAGGTTGGAACTAAACTCTGCCGGACAGTGGCCCTTCAGGACCAAGTTTGGACAACCCTGAACTAGAGGGAACATAAACAGACATTGTTAACAGCACTATAACAGCTGTATCAGCAGCATTTTTAGTAAAACAAACAATAGAATGCATCTAGTGAAAGTATTTACATTTTACTAAGGATTAAGATTCAATTGACATGGATAGATTGTACGACATGGTTTTAACCAACATGCTATTTTTTTACGTTTGACAAAACTGCATTTAAAAAAAATAAAATAAATCACCTGGAGAGCATCCCCCTGGAGAGCATGTAGCCTATATAGCTACTACACAGAGTGTTAGTGATTACAGAGAAACCACCTTTAACCCTCAGGTGCTCTTTGTTTCAGAGTCACACTTGTTATCTTCCCGGTCAAAAGTGACCGGACACCTAAAAATTCAATTTACTCCATCCCAGTAAAACCAATGCAATTTAGTTTTGTTCTATAATATTTATTCATTGTAATTTAGTATTTTGAGACAATTTGATTGAATTTATTAATATTTATGCAATAATTAAGATCTTTTTTTGCCATGGAAAAAAATATATATATATATTTTTCTATATACAGTATATATTACTTTTTTCAAAAAATTATTAATGCAGTATTTAAGTTTAATATAGAGTCTAGGCCTTCAGAATTTTTTTTTAAATAATTAGCACCATCTGGTTGTTATTATATATATATATATATATATATATATATATATATATATATATATATATATATATATATATATATATATATATATATATATATATATATTGGGCGAACGGTAATGAAGTTGGGAACCTGATACCGCGCTTGCAGCATCCAGTAGAAAGCTGCGCGCGCTCTGCGGGGCGGGTGCTCGAGCGAACTCAACACTGTCACATTTCACTGCCATCCTGTCAAGAAACTTTAAAAACATTTTTGGTTGAGCTTATTTTAAATACTCGAATAAGGTGGATGCTGGCTCTGGTTGAGTGATTTGAAATGAAGTGCGTCCTTGGTTGTTACGTGGACTTCTGTGCAGGGGTTATTATTATTATTAGTCTTATCTTTCCTTTGGCTCACGGGACTCCGTCGAGATATAGTCTGTTCCAGGGCAGTGCTTATTCCAGCTCTGTTTCAAGACAACGAAACAAGTAAGTAAATGGCAGCATATTTGTGCAAACATATGTCATAATTTAAAAATGCAGGAACAAATGTGTACAGTAGGCTACCATTGTTTAACTAAGATTAACGAACTAGAAATAGCATCCCTTTGGAGAACTAGTTATAAACTTGATACAGTTTCGTAATTAATGTGAAACTAATGCAGGACAAATGACTAGCGCCAACATTAACATTTTAACCTGTTAACGAATAACTTATTCAAGATTGTTTGGTAACGCTTCCTTTCACAGTCCAGTTACAATACGATGTAGCCTACTTATTTTAGTAACTATTACTGGGTAATAACTAGTACTAACTCTGAACCTACCCCTGTTCTATGTACTTACCTTATATTAGCCAGTACTTTCTAGGTAAGTACACTATAAGTACGATTGTTTTTATGTCATCAACAGGTAATAGCAGGTATTTGATGTGGGTAAACTGGTAATAATTCGTTTATTTTCTCCTATAGAACTAGCTCTGGATAATTTCAAAATGAGTTGGGTTTCTCCCTTCTAAATTCATCCTTATTTGTTGGCCTATCAATTTCCCTCTCACACTATTATTATTATGCTATACAGGCCCCACTTAAAAGAAGACAGCTCCTTTTCTCACTGAATCCCTACTGCACTGTAACATTTCAAGTCACATAACCTTAAAATGGTAACCTATGCAGTGATATAGGCTATTGATTTAAGCCCAGAACTGGTATAGTTGTAACATACATAGGGAGAGTTTTAACACCACCAAATCAGGATTACTCACTTCCTTACAGATCCCAAATGCCATGCTATAAATTGGCACATTTGACCATTTTTTGACCAACACTATATTTTGTTGTTTACTTAAACCTTTGCAGATAAAATCGTTTATATTAGATTAAATTGTAGTTCATCAGGGCAAAATATGATGAATTTTAACTGCCAATTTCCACGCATCATGACAAGCTAAACACTGGCTGACAGAGGTGAGGTGTTACACATCTTTTAAAACAGTGTTTCAACAATCCCCTTATATATGTCTAAGAACAGTTTATTTTATAAATAATTTTACAGAATGCCAAGACAGTGGAAAAGAAAGATAGATCGAGGTGTGCCTGCCAGTGTCATTTAAAAAAAACAAAAAACTCATGAGGTTTCAAAGAAGTGCTGGTCAGTCAGATCAGTTGCAAAGACAAAGTTGAAAGCCAGTGGTGAGGATTCTGCCAAGGTGAGACCTTGGACCAGTAGGCAACTCAAAGCCAAAGGAAGTGTGGGTAAACGTCTCCACCAAGCCTACACTCAAGGGTTAACAACAACATTCATTTTTCACCACTGATTGAGAATATTCACACAAACTCACACACATATTGACAGTTTTTTTAGTCAGCCGAGTGTTCATTAAGCATAAAGTAAATACTGTACTTTATTCTAAGTTTGTTCTACACTGTAAAAAATATTGTTGGTTTAACTTGGTTGCCTTAAAACTTTAAGTTCATTGAAATTGAAAAATTGAGTTAATACAATGAAGGAGATTGATTTAATAATAAGAAACTCAAAATATTATGTTATCTGATCCTAAACCACATAAATTATCTAAGTTGATTTGACAGAAGAAAAAAGTTCTAACAAATCATGATTTTTTTTTTTACAGTGTACACTGCTTTATCTAATCAAAAAAAATTGAGGCAACAGATTACAAGCAATATTAATAATTAAATTTACAATAATACAAATTAGAATTGAGTTATCATTAATCATTGAGTTATCAAAATAAAGAGTTCTTAATTAATCTTTGACGTCTATTTGTTAGTGAGATATTTTGTTAATTTTTTTTGGTGTAAACTTTACTCATTTTAAATGGTTAACTTTTAAGGAATAATTTAATTAATTATTACTCAATTCTTTTTTGTTAAATTTAACTAATAATATTGCTTGTAATCTGTTGCCACAATTCTATTGATTAGATAAAGCATATTCATTTTTACAGTGTAGTAGACTACATGTCTACTGTTTTTACAAACCTGTTTTTGAAGGGTGTTGTATGGTGTGGCCACTGCTTTTTCTTAATTTTTACTACTTACCCCGATCGTGGGGTGGATTGTAACAAAGTCGCACCATAAATGTGATATTCTTGCAGAGGTTTAAATTGGGGATTTGTGGGTATTTTGTATAAAAGTTTGAGTTGCAGATCCTGAAGCAAAAAGTGTTACAACATACCCGCTTCCCCCTATTCCTCACAGACATTTGGTTTCTCCTGTCTTGCTTCAATTATGCTTTTTTTTTACTTTACTTATGTTCCAAATAATTAGT